TTAGGTCCTCACTGAAGAAAGTTTTTAGATTAGGATCTTTAGCTAAGGAGATGGGCTAATTTATACTCTTTAGGAAGCTAGAAAGCTAGAATTGGGGAAGCAACATAAATGATTCATCTCAAGGACCCAAAAGAGTCACAGGGAAGAATATTATTTACAGGGAAGGATATGACTTAATACCAAAGGGCTCTGAGCAGTTAAAGGAAGGATGTGACTTATTAGGGGGAATCTCTAACTATTCCTAGAGCTTCCTTGAGCATCTCTGTAATAGAAAGCATCTCCCCACAACTTATGTATTTCAAACAGGAAAAGAATAAATTTAGGATAAATTAAAAAAAAAAGAACAAGAAAGGAAGGAACAAAAGAAAGAAAGAGAGAGAGATAGAAAACAATTTCTCCTTATTGTTTGAGGCGATGGAACACGGGTGGGGGGGGAGATCATCATGTCAACATGGGTTAATGGCTGCATTTGGCTTTTGGGTCACAGAAAAATAGCTGACTTCAGCACTTTGCAAGAAGTCTGGCTCAAGTTGCTTTCAAGTTTCCAGTTTTAGTTACTATCACCATGTAAAAATTTCCAAAAAACTTGGCAGTGTGGTTTACAACAACTATTTCATGCAAGTCAGATTCCAGCATCAGGGCTTCAGACGGGCACAGAACAAACAGCTTGACTCTGCCTCTAATGCCTGGGCCCTCAGCAGGGAAAGATTCAGAGGCTGAAGGGAATCCAACAGCACCAGGATTATCTAAATCCTCATATTATTTTTCCTATACTCTCATGTAGGGACACAGAGCCTACACATAAATTCTCCACGGCTCTTGGGCTAACTTACCACATGTCAGGCTCAAGTCAGACTTTACCTAGTGGCTTAGGGTTGAAAGCATTAGTATACTAGAAAACAAGCTAGACACTGCACTGTCTTTCACACTCCAGTTTCGGAAACCACACTGTGTCATAGCCACCATATTTAACTGTTTAAAACAGTCACAAAACTGTGTATATTCAAGGGGGGGGGGGACATAGACATCCCCCCCGGGTCCGGATGGGAGAAGAATCAAAGAATTTTGTAGCCATGTTTTAAAAGTTTCCGGAAGAGACAACACTTGGAATGGGAGAATATATTTACAAACTCTCCCTCAGATAAGGGAATGGTAATCAACATATATAGGGAAATCAAACAGTTTACCCCCACACAATTCAATCCAATTAAGACAGGCTAATGAGCTGAGTTGACAAACTGTCAAGGAAGATAAACAAATAGTCAAAAAAGTATATGAAAAAAGGCACACTGTGCCTTTCCATAATGGAGATGCAAATCAAAACTACAATGAGATACCGCCTAACCCCAATCAGAATGTCTAAATTTAACAGAATAAAGAATGTGATAAGTGCTGGCAAGGTTCTCACTGTTGGTGAGAATGGTACAGCCACTATGGAAAACAACAGAAGTTTCTCAAAGACTTACAAATAGAACTACCATATGATTGAGCAATTCCACTCCTGTTCACCCCAAAGACAGTAATGCACTCAGTTGGAAAAATATTTACACATTCTTGTTTATTGTAGCATTATTCACAACTGTTAAGAAATGGAATCAACCCAAATGCTCAAGAAGAGCTGAATGGATTGAAAAAATGTAGCACATACACATTCTGGAATACTACTCAGCCATAAAAAAGTAGGACTCTGGCATTTGATCAAAAGTGAATGAATACGAAAGATTTAATGCTAAGTGAAGCAAGCCAGACAGTGAAAGAGAAGCACCGTATATCCCTACTTAATATATACCAATGTCTTCACTCTGTGTCAGAAACTGAAAGATCAAAAGCTATAAAATCATGGAGAGCAACTGTCGATACTAGAAACAGTGTGAGAGGAGGGTAGAAAATGTCGGGGGTGGGAGGGCTGTGGGGGAGGGAGGGAACCAAGGAGGGAAAAAAAGGAACAAAACATTTAAGGAACATAAAAATGGAAAATTATCTGTTAATGATAATGTGTATGGTAGTATCTTTGGACTAATATACAGTGTATTCATGCTGGGAAAAAAGAAAAGTTTCTGAATTTCAGACAAGGAAACTGTTTTTTGGTGTTTAAGGTAAAGAACAGTCTAATACCATGCGTGTGGACCCAGGGATAAGGAACAAAATGGAAAAGCAACAAAAGGTTTCAGACCCTAAAGAGTCTGAGATTAATTTAGATAACCTGGAACCTGGATGGTTTGGGCTTGAAAAGGATCAAGCATGCTTAAATAGCAGAGTTGGGTATTAAGAAGTTGGGTAAGAAAGTTTGGGAAGGAATACTGAGAAATGTAGTAGAAATAAAGAAAGTAAAGTTAAGTCAAAATCCAGCCACTCAAAGTAACCAGAGTTTACATTTTGCTGTGTTTTTCTTAGTGTTGAATTTGCACATATGTCAAGCGAGACTGTTTGTAATTTATGTGTAGCATGTGTGTATGTGTGAGAGAGAGTGTATGTGCGTGTGAAGCAACATAGTAATCATACCATATGATCAGTTTTACGTCCCATCTCCCAACTCCAAAATTGGCTTACTTCCCTTTGGCATTTCACTCTGAAGAGATTTACATTTCAGCTTTATTCACTTCTGCTAAGTCAGCGAAGTTAGTCTTAATTGAGTTCCTTTGCCCCTAAGTTTCTCTGCTTAGTGCCAACGACCTACCACTGAGTTTTGATTGTTAACTTCTTCTTTTCTTTTTTTTTACTTAAAGAATACTGTTTAGTTTCTGTAATCAAACTCATGTAGATAAGACCTTACATATTTAATAGTGTGTTACCCGTGTACAAATGGAAAAAAAAATTACGTTGAACATTCCTAGACTAATATGGCTGTTACTTTCTGTGCAATGCCAACTCAACACAGTAAACTGGGATATTTTTTCCAAAATTGACAGCACAGCTAGTTTCCAAAAAATCAAATCAAATTTTATATATATATATATATATATATTTGCAGCAGCATCTTTTCCAGGTTCTGCCATCATCTGAACAAATTATTGAGACATCCAGAACATTCTATTAAAAAAAGATAAAAAAAAAAAGAGAGAGAGAAAACAAACTCTCCCTAGAAAACAGAAAAGTTCTGTTATTGTTGTGGTGCCTGACCATTTTTTTTTTTAATTAGCTTCTCAATCATCATCTGGAAAGAAAACAATCTAGAACAACGTCACTGAAAACAGCTCTGACAAAGCACGGTCACTACTATGTATCATAAAGCAGGTGCAAGTATTTTACATTCACAGAGGTACGATACAGTGCTGTCTTACATCTGTGACACTAGCAGATACAATTGGTAAGGCATTATTTGAGGCTTGATTCTACTTTTCCAGCAGAGGATCCAAGGATGATACGACTCAGCTCTGTAAAGAAATGCACTTTCGGGACCAGCAGTTAGCGTAATGACTATGTCGCTGGACTCCCATGCAGCCGACCGTGGTTTGCTGCCGAACCTCTCAAAAAAAAAAAAAAAAAAAAAAAGGCTCTAGCCAGAAGTTAAATGTCTCTTGCTGAAAGGCATAGAAGAGCATAAGAATAGGGAGTCAAGCAAACATATAATGCATTGTGGTTTTCTATTTTGTCTTAAATTCTTTTTTTAAAAAAATGTTGCTATAGGGCATGTGTGCTTGCTGGAGAGAGAACAGAGAAAGAGAGGCAGGGAAAGTAAGAAAACAGCCCCCAGTGGGGGATGGCCACACTTCAATCCCTTCTCCCACAGCACCCCCTCAGGATTTGGGGCACACATGTACATACGCATGGTGCCTTTTCAAGTTGCCAGGTTCAGGAGGTGAGCTGCACAGTCAGCCATGTGCGAACCAGCCACCTTAACCCCCATACCACTGGCTGGTCCTGCACTGTGTTTGTAAACAAAAGTTGTCCTTTAGAAAGGTTTTTCTTATGGCCAATGGGATATTTCCAAATAAATACTATCTTCTTCAAAATAGCTGTCGTGGCTAAGGACACAATTCTCTGGTGATGCTCTTCCCATGCATATCCTCTAAGACGCCTCTTTTAAAATTGTTTTTATCGGGACCAACAGATGATGTAATTTTTATGTATATCACTGGACTCCCACGTAGTCAACCACAGTTCAAGTCTCAGAACCAGCAGCTTAAAACTCATGCCGGGTGCATGTGCGTGCATGTCCAAGATCCCAAGGGAGAGTGGAAGAGAAGAGATTGTGGTAGCATGGCCATCCTCCTTGGGGGATGATTTCTTGCTTTCTGTCTCTCTGGTGAGCACACATACCCTATAGCAAAAATCTCTCTAGAAAAATAATCAAATTGTCTGGAACAGCAGTTGGCGTAATGGCTATGTCGCTGGACTCCCATGTAGTCGACAGCAGTTCAAGTCCTGGACTTGGCGGCTTAAACTCATGCCAGGCGTGTGTGTGCGTGCGTGTCCATGATCCCGAGAGGAAAATGGAAGAGAAGGGATTGCATCATGGCCATCCCCCCCGGGGGGGTGATTTCTTGTTTCTATCGCTGTCTCTCTGTCTTTCTGGAGAGCGTACATTCCCTGGAGCAAGGGAAAAAAAAAAAAAAAAAACTCTCCCCCCCCAAAAAAAATAAATAAATAAAATTGTTTTTATAAAGGCCATCATATCAATTTGCCTATAAGTAATGGCATTTATTCAACATTTATTTAGTTCTTGTTTCTTATTAGTCATAGTTGCGAGTACTTAACTTTTTTATTTTTTTTTTTGGAGAGATTTTCACTGTAGGGCGCGTGCTCTCGCCAGACAGACAGAGAGAGACATAGAGACAGAAAGCGAGAAATCACCCCCCAGGGGGGATGGTCACGCCACAATCCCTTCTCCTCCATTCTCCTCTCGGGATCTTGGGCACACACGCACACGCGCCCGGCGTGAGTTTTAAGCCACCGGGTCCGGGACACGAACCGCGGTCGACTATGTGGGAGTCCAGCGACATAGCCATTATGCTAACTGCTGGTTCCCAGTTGCGAGTACTGAGACTATAATATAAATATGACACACAAAATCTTTGCCTTTTAGAACTTATCATTAACAAATTTTATTTCTACTTCTGATGGTATTTCATGCGCAGAAGAAGGAGAAAATGACTTGATGGGTGGGAAATATTTTAGATGGAGGATCAGGGCATCCTCTTTCTGAGGAAGAGGCCTATGAAGGAAAGGAATACGCTAATTTAAAATAGGACCAGAGTGATGCAGGGCCCTTTGGGAAACCGCCACTTGCTTTATGATAGGTGGGGAAGTGTAAAGCCACCGAAGGTTGACAGAGGGGAGTGACTTGATTTGATAAATCACTGGTCACAGACTTGAGATAAGGAAATGACTGTGGTGAGTGATTCAACCAAGTCACAGGGCTTTCAGTATAAGTTGAACACAACTTGGGAAGTGGGGAGTCATTTTTAGGCGATGATTTCCATCATTTGATTAACAAAAGGAGATCCTCCTCCCAGCTTCAACACAACTAAATCCAGACCACGAAATAGCTTGTTAGCAATGGGTGTGTACAGGAGGGCAGTTACATTGGTACACAGTTTAGTCTCTAAAAATCAAACACATGAATTACACGTAGGTGGATGCCTTAGTTTCTCACACGTCTTTGGGAGAGTTTGCATATGCGGCTCGACTTTAAGCTGTAATCGTATACTTGAGGCTAGACTTCATCTAAATGATCACGCCCTCACACTTAGAGGCGTCCAAAGTAATGCAGTCTTCTTAAACTCTTCAAAACAGAAATGGTTTCTGGTTCACAATGGTGTCTTTACACATTTTTTCCCACTTCATTTACTTTACCACTCAGACTTGGGGGATCTTCCCGTCAGTATGTCTGTGACTCAGCTTTAGTTTGAGATGACTTCATGCTTCCATTTAACCCACGGAAGAGAGTATGATTATTTAACCAATCCATGATCCCCAGTTAGGATGCCAGGAGTCTCGAAGGGGGCTAATCTTGTGGCTTGGCATTTTTCATCTCTTCTATTTCCTTAAAAGAAGAGTGCATAGAGTTGGCCTGTGAACCAGACATTGCTTTTCTCTCTTGGGAGTATTTCTAGTTCAGTTTGTCTCGATAGCTCATAAGAAATATATAGAGAGGAACCAGCAGTTAGCATAATGGCTATGTCGCTGGACTCCCACATAGTCAACTGCGGTTCGAGTCCCGGACCCAGTGGCTTAAATTTACGCTGGGTACATGTGCATGTGTGCTCAAGATCCCGAGAGGAGAGTGGAGGAGAAGGGATTGTGGCGTGGCCATCCCCCCTGGGGGTGATTTTTTGCTTTCTATTTCTCTGTCTCTCTCTGCCTGTCTGGCGAGTGCACATGCCCCATAGCAAAAACCTCTAAAAAAAAAAAAAAAGAAAGAAAGAAAAGAAAGAAAGAAAGAGAGATACAAGATCCTGGCTAAATTTCCTTGAATTGAGCAAAACAATGCTGGTTCCTACTCTTCTTTCTTTTCTTTTACCTAATAAAAATGCCCATGTTTGCAAAGTTCAGTCTTATCTGTGCATATTACCTCTTTCAGAATTCTCACTGTAACACTATTTTTAAAACAATTCAGGCATTATGGTTCAGTTTTACAGAGGCAGCATTGGCAGAGCACAGAACTTCCTATCAAGTCCAAATTCACTTAGTGAGGGTGGTTCTGGACTTGAGCCAAAGCCTGGGTCCCACAAAGTCTAGTGCGCTCTTTAATACAACACAGTGTCTATGAGATACGTGCTTTCTCACCCCCAGTGGAAAGTTAGACACTGTTACAATCATTTGTTGTTCTCTTATCCTTTGTTAGTTATAGGGGCAATTTGTGCAGTTAATGGAGAAGTCTAGAAGGCAGACTTGATAAGGTGACAGAATAGTTTTTCTCTTCAGTGGACCATTTACAGAAGGAGACACCATGGTCTATGCTTGAAACTGACACTGAAAGCAGCAGTCAGAAGATGCACTTTCCCAGTGTGTTCCTAGTTTAACAGCAACAGCTCTACTCTGCAGCTTACACTTCCACACGAGGAAAGTGGACTGACAGCCAGGTGAGGTGGTTCTCACCTGTAGTCCTAGCCGCTCAAGAAGCTAAGGCCAGAAGATGCCCAGTTTTAGGCCAACCTGGGCAACATGAGACTCTGTCTCATAAAAGAACCAAAATGAGAGAACCCAAAAACCAACCAAACAAAAACCCAAAAAAGTAGACTAATACATGGAGAAAGGATCGTATCAGTCCTGCACACACACGTACACACACAGCATCTAGCATTTTCTTGATTTATAACATTTTCTGAGTGCTGTAGAAAAGAAAGATTAGCAAAAATTGAAGTAGGTTTAATTGTCTGAAAGAGAAAGGATTGAGAGTGAAGGTGGGCATTATGGGAAAAGGGTCTGAGAGTTTCTTACTTACCGAGTTGGGTAAGAGAATCTAGCAAAGAAATTAAGCCAGTTGTTATAGAATTTAAGAATACTAAGGAAGGGAGATAAATAAATAAGACTTTAGGAGATTTTACTGGGTATCGGCAAGCTGATTCTTCTCTTGTTTTTCTTCTCAATAATTCAATCTTTTTGAAGTTCCTTTTCATAGAAGATCTACATTGTTCTTTAGTGATAATTACAGTACAACTGTTGTATTTGTAGAGTTGCCATGGTTTACAAATAAAAATATAGGAAAATACAAGAAGTCCCCTAATTAAATTTTATTTCTTTTAGAAACATTTGGAAAAGCAATGACTCATTTGCATGTCTGTATCTCTGTGTGTAATTCTCAAATTCTGTATGGAGCATATTTTTACTAAAAAATGATGTCTGAAATTGAAATTTAACTGGGCATTCTGTATTTCACCTAGCAACTTGGCTAGGACATGGATAAAAGCAGGAAAGTTTATTTTATTGGCTTACATGCAAAGCAGAGGAGAATGTTCTGGAGGCTTTTAGGCAGTAACAGCTGTTTGCAAACTTGGCTGCACTTTAGAATCACCTGAGGAGCTTCAGATGCCAGTCTCAGTTGCTCTGAGATTGGGCCAGGGCCCGAGGTTTTTCCAAAGCATTCCGGAGGACTTGCACACAACAGCGAGGGGCTGGCGGCTGATGTCTGACAGTTCTCAACCTACCGTACACATACATAACACCATCAGACATTTAATAATACCTATGCCCAGATCCTACCCAGAGCAATTAAATTAATATCTTGGAGAAAACTCCTATATTGCCATTTAAAAAACAAACAAAAAAGAAAGCAAGGAAGAAAAGCAAAAAACTTTTCAGTAAATTTTAATATTACTTCCAGGTTAGTAAACTCCAAATTTTAATTTAAAAAAAAATGGCATTCTAAAGTATTTCCAGCTCAAGGAGTCACATTTCCAGCCCTTTGGGAAATGAAAAAGTTTATTACATTCCTCAAAATCCTCATGGGATGGAGAGATAAAAAAAAAAAAATTTAAAAAGATTGCAGCATGATGATGCCCCATCGGGGCAGTCTCTATCTCTGTCTCTCTCCCTTTTGTCAGGCACATACCCTCTGACAGTTAAAAAACAATTATCTTTTTTTCTTTATTCATGATAGCACTCATATGCATGCACATGGTGGAGGTAGGGAGACAGAGAGAGCCCTTTCCACTAGATCTGGTCACGCCATAATCCCCTCTTTCCGGTCTAGGGAACTTGGATCTTGGGCACTTATGCATGTATGCCCAGCATATTTCAGGTTTACTGGGCTGGGGATTCAAAACCATGGTCACCATGTAGGATTTGGTTTTTCTTATGATATTATTTATTGTTATAAATGTAACCAATGTATCTAAAATAAAGACCAACTACCGTAACTCTGAATTCCAGAGGTAGCCATGGTGAAACCCTTGCTCTGTGTGTTTCCTGTGCTAAGCATACTATTTTTTTAACTTGTAAAATTCCCATTACTGAAATATGAAGAATTGTATAATGAATCCTCTGGAACTCTTAATCTCCCTTCAATAAATATCCACAAATATACAGGCAAATTCTTTTGACACTTCTAATTGAGAATTTACTTATGCACAGCAAGTTCACAAATCTTAACAGGCAGGTCGATCACTTTATCAATATGATATGTATGCCCACATATATACAACCAGTTATAAGTAGGTTTCTATGACCCTATATTCGCTGTTCCTTCCAGTCATCCCATCCCATCTAACACATCTCCCCCCAGATATGACCACTATCTGACTTCTATTATCATAACCTGATCTCAAACCTCATTTAAATGGAATCATCCAGTATGTATTTTCTTCAATCTGGCTTCACTAAAGACCATCTCTGTTTGCATTTGGGGACTGTGATGCACATGGCTGCTGATCGTACATGTCCTTTGGTAAACATGGGCACTTCTCCTGAGTATATATCTACTAGTGAGATTTCTGGGTCATAGGAAAAATATATGTTTACTTTTATAGATTCTTCTGAAAGGCTTCCCAAGGCAGTTGAAGCAGTTTATGAGACTTCCAGTTGATGCACATTCTAACACTTAGTCAGTCTTTTACATTTTAAGATAACTTTTGAAGTAGGAAAACATTTAAGTGCCTCCTACTGTGGCTTTCCCACTAACCATAGGAAGGATAACTTCCTTTGTATATTTAACTTACCTATGTATTATTGGCATGATCTTTCCCACACCAACTCCCAGACCTTTTACTGATTTTACTTAGCTGCCAAATAAATCCTAGGGATAAAATGATACACATGAAATAATAAACAAGAAGGTAATAAGCATTACTATAAAGAACTGTTGTCTCAAAGTGTAACCAGTTACTCATATTTATATCTCAGGAAATTTAATATAGTATTCTGGATTATAGGCTATTCAAACAATAATAAAAGGAAGAAAGAGGAGGAGAAGAAGGAGGAGGAGGGAGAGAAGGAAGGGGACATGGAGGAGGAAAAAAGGGGGAAAAGAAGGAGAAAAAGGAGGAGGAGGGAAGAGTAAGGGAAGAAAATTAAAAGGAGAGAAGGGGAAAAGGGGAAATATGGAACAGGAAAAGAAGTAGCAGGAGGAGAAGGAAAAAAGGAGGAAGAAGAAAAAGAAAAAAGAGGAAAAGGAAGAGGAAAGAAGAAGAAAAACAGCAGCAGCAGAAAAACACTATACATGAGGTAGTCTTTGTTTGGCAGGCTTTGAACTAACAATTCCTTTTTTCGAAGCAGGAAGATGCATCAATGCCTTGCACACAAACACAGAAAATCAAAATATATGTTTTTAATAAAAAATTGAATTTCAACATTAGTGGTGACTGCAGAATTAGAAGTATATCAATAGATGAAGAAATAAATGTCTATTTTTGTTCTTATTTTGTTTTACCTATGACATAAATTTTTGAAGTGTATGATAATAATTTAGTTTCTCCTTTATTTTTAAATTCATTTTTTATATCATTGCACATCTTAACAGCATATAATATGGCTTTTTCTAAGCATACATACATCGGATATCAATCCAGTCAAAGATATTGCCATATACATCATCTTGTACAAATAACTTTCCATTGTTGTATCTGTTAAATTTTTTTTCTGAGTACTTCCCTCCCATCCCCCACAATTCACACTCTACTATACAGTCTCTGGTATCTACACTTGGCATCTCTGTTGTTATATCTTCAAGTCTTTCAGTTTCTGACATAAAATGCACATTTGTTAAATACAGAGCAGGGACATGCAATGTCTGTCTTTCATAGTCTGGCTTGCTTCACTTAGCATCAAGTTCTCTACATTAATCCACTTTGTATCAAAGGTCAGAATTCCATTTTTTTTTTTTTATGGTTGAAGTAGTATTCCAATGTATATGTGCCACATTTTTTTAATCCAGTTTTCCATTCTTGGGCATTTAGGTTGATTTCATGTCTTAGCAATCAGAAATGATACTCTGATAAACATGTATGTGAACATGTCTTTCTGACCAGTGTTTTCCTATCCTTTGGGTAAAAACCCAGAAATGGGATCACTGGATGGCATGGTAGTTCTAGTCATAGGTTTTTTGAGGAAGTGTCATTTGTTTTTCCTCGATTGTTAGAAGACCTCTGTGAAATCAGCCTGGTTTATTGAGGTAGACTCTATGCACATGTGCTTAAAAATTATTTTGTATAATAGAATAATTTGAAACTGGGTTTCAGTTTTTTATTGCTTACTACCTGAATGGTACGAAAGATAGCAACTTAAAATATTTTAAATCTATGCTAAGTTTGTAGTATAAGAAACTGAAATAAAAAATCTAGAGCTGTCTCTTTTGCTCTAGTTCTAATGTTCTTACCCAGTGTAACTTTGGACATGGGACCTGGATCTTTCTGTTCTTTATTTATATATTAAAATATAAGCTAGTTATTCCTTAACGTTCCTTCTAGCTCTAAAATTCTTAGATTCTATTATTTCAGGCTAGCAGATTAGCAGCAATATATTCTTGTCAAGAAAAAAAGCTTAAAGAAACCCATGAGCTGGTGCTGCCCCCTAATGTAGATTGTTTTATTCTACTTTCTGACAACTGATAGGGAGGGTGAGACAAAGTGCGAAATTTAATATTTTGCCATTCTAACTGCTTCTGTCATCTTTCATTTGCTTATTTCTGAAAAAAATCAAGAGTTTTAAAAACTCATTTCTAACTGTTTTTATCTTTTATAATGTAAGAAAATGAAAACTCAAGTAAATTATATTTAATGACCGTTAGCTAAAACAATCTGAGCAAAAATATTTTGAAAACTGATCAACAAAAAGATGGTTCCTATAATTTCCCTAAGCAAATTTATAGGAGCTGAGTTGTAGAAGAACTGAGATCATTTTAAAGGAATCTCTTTTACTTAATAACAGCATTAGCAATATTAAATACATTTTAAGAGAATCAGGAATTCAATAAGGTGATAATAGAAAGAATATGTCTTTTCAAACAGAAAATAAAGATCCGGTGCAAATTAGGTATAACAAATAGTAACAGTTTGCAAGTTCAAATTATTTTAGCCATTAAATTGATGTGAAAGCATTTTCCTTGAATATCTTTATTTATTTATTTTTTTTTTAGAGAGATTGGGCACATGTGCTTGCCAAAAAGACACAGAGAGAGAGAGACAGAAAGTAAGAAATCACTTGAGGAGATGACCGTCCCGTAATCCTTTCTCCTCCATTCTCCTCTTGGGATTTTGGATACATGTGCACACACATCTGGTGTGTTTTAAGCCATCAGGTCTGGGACTCCAATCGCGACAGACTATATAGGAGTCCAGTGATGTAACCATTACGCCATCTGCTGGTCCCAGCCCTGAATACCTTATTCTAAAAATTTTGTACTGTTTTTAAAAATAGGTTCCTTTCATTGCTGACAATATTGCAAATCAAACAATATTAAAATCTTCTAATCATAAAATACTTAGAAAGGGGAACCAGCAGTTAGTGTAATGGCTATGTCACTGGACTCCCACGTAGTCGACCGCGGTTCGTGTCCCGGACCCGGTGGCTTAAAACTCACGCCGGGCGCGTGTGCGTGCGTGCCCAAGATCCCAAGAGGAAAATGGAGGAGAAGGGATTGCTGCGTGACCATCCCCCCTGGGGGGTGATTTCTCGCTTTCTGTCTCTATGTCTCTCTCTGTCTGTCTGGCGAGCACATGCGCCCTACAGTGAAAATCTCTCCAAAAAAAAAAAAATACTTAGAAAGTCTGGCTAAAGCCTAATCAAAAGCTACATATGCCAAGTGTAGCTCCTAGGAAAATAAGAGAAATTAATGGGTGTCAAAAATAAACATAAATCTGGCACTTCAGGTGTTGGCAGCCATGGCCGAGGATGGTGTGAAAGTGGAAAGATAGCGGTGGCAACAGTGGTGGAGTTTCAGAGAACAGTCTCTACTCAGCAGTGACCGAGAGGCCTCCATGGACATCCTCCACTCCATCGTGAAGCATGACATTCAGGAAAATGATGAGAAAGCAGTACAGGTCCAAGAGCAGAGCATCCTGGAACTGGGTCTCTCCTGGCAAAGACTAGACAAGCTGCAGAACTTGGAGGACTCCTGAAGTATGTTATGACTCTTCTGAATTCCATCAGCAAGGCTAGCAGCTCATCTGGTCCCATCCCTTCTTGGTCTGTTTCTTTATATGGAAGCAGCTACAGAGCAGCAGGTTGAACTGTGTTTAGAATGTACTGAATGGGCCAAGTCAGAGAAAAGAACTCTTTTACACCAAGCTTTGGAGGCAAGTCTGGTGTCTTTGTTCTTTGCTACCAAGAGGTACCAGGAAGCATTACATTCGGGTTCTCAGCTGCTGGGAGAGTTGTAAAAGATGGATGACAAAGCCCTTTTGGTGGAAGTACAACTGGACGGGTAGCGGTCCTTTGGAGAGTGTGTGGCGGGAGAGTGAACCTTGGGGGGAAATACTAGGGGATTCTTTTTTGTTGTTCTTCTTTTCACTCGGAAAGTTTTAAGTCCTCATTTAGTGTTATCTGTATTCCAGCTGATAGGTGTGCCAGGTTTGGTTTTTTTTTGTTTTTTTTTTTTTTTTTGAGAGGTTTTTGCTATAGGGTGCATGTGCTTGCCAGACAGACAGAGACAGAGAGACAGAAAGCGAGAAATCACCCCCCAGGGGGGATGGCCACGCCGCAGTCCCTTCTCCTCCATTCTCCTCTCGGGATCTTGGGCAAGCACACACACGCACCCAGCATGAGTTTAAGCCACTGGGTCTGGGACTTGAACTGTGGTTGACTACATGGAAGTTCAGTGACAGCCATTATGCCAACTGCTGGTCCCAGGTGTGCCAGTTTTAATGTAATTTTTACTGGCCCAACTTAGGAGTGGGGAAATTGCTTTGAAAAAAATAAAAAAGAAAAAACATATCTAAATAAGAGAAAAAAGGCTTACACTATAAATTCATTCATTCATTCGTTCATTCATTAAAGATATATCTGAAATGCCAAACTGTTAAGTTTACGCTGACACTTTCTTTGGCTTTCCAAGAAGGAAGGAGTCATGAATCTTCATTGGCTTTGCTTTTACCCACTGAGATGAAGCTGGAGGTGCGACCTGGGACATAGCACAGAATAATATTGGCGACCCCTCCCCACCAGTAAACTTTAGTGGGAACCATCAAAGGGACACACTCTACTGTAAAGGGTGAAACAAACAAATTATCCATTGCTGAAGGGCGATTGAGAGAAAACTTGATGGTTGTGAACTGTGCTTTAAATAGGAAATACTTTTCACTAAGAATTCACAAACCAGTATTTGTCCATATGACACCAAACTGAAGAGAAACATAAATAGTTATTTTCAGCTGGTAATACCATCAGGAACCAGCCAATCCAAAAGCATACTTCTTGGGGCCAGCAGATGGCATAATGGTTACGTGCTGGACTCCCACATAGTCGACCACAGTTCAAGTCCCAAACTCAGAGGCTTAAAACACACCAGGTGTGTGTGCATGTGTGCCCAAAATCCTGAGAGAAGGGACTGCAGCATGGCCGTGGCCATCCTTGCTGGGGGGTTAGGGGGGTGATTTCTCACTTTTTGTTTCTCTATCTCTTTCTGTGTCTCTGGTGAGCGTATGTACCCTATAGCAAAAATCTCTTCAAAACCAAAAAAAGAAAAAGTAAAAGCATACTTCTCTGCAAAGAACACAACCTCAGACAAGACCTCAGAGCCTCATGAGTTTCCTAGCAATAATCCTAAACTTGAAAACACGTGGGTAGCACATACGTTTCCAATTTCTCATCTGAGAAATGGGAATTAATGTATTGATCTATTTCATAGGGTTATGAAAATTGAATGAGTTAGTTTATGAAAAGTCCTTAGAATTTGACACCTGGCTAATAGAAAGCATTCCAAGGACCTGATTTGATAATCTTCACTATTGTTATTTAGATCATTGGACACATTATCCCACCTATCTCACGATTGGGTTGATTTTTCTCTCTGTGTTCCAGATATAGAGGAATTCCAGTCATATCCATCTGCTGGAATTAAATCATTTTTATTATTCAGTTAATTACATTTATTATTAATTTTTATATTGCTGTAGGATATATGTGCTCACCAGAGAGAGAGCAAAAAAATTGAGAAAGCAAGCCACCAGGTCTGGGACTTGAACCACAGTCAATCATGTGGGAGTTCAGCACCTTAACCACCACACCACCTGCTGGCCTTAGAATTAAATCTCAACAGAAACCTAACAACCACACAGTTCGAAATTATAAGATTTCACATTACTGATTCCTTTACTAAGCAGCAGCAGAACTAAGAACGTAGGAAAAATTTAATGGGTAACCATTGAGCTAGCTAATTACAGAACATCTTTTTAGAATTTCCTATTTCCTTTCTTGTTTTTATATTATGTGCAGAGAGTGGCACTACCATCACCCCAAACATAGCACATTCCCACCCTTCACCACACATACTGATCAATATTCACCACCAACTTACTCTAAGCAACTGGGAAAATAGGGCTAGGACTAGATACTTCCAACCAGTTGGAAGCTTGAGACTGGGAAACTATAAAGCTCTTAAATTAACTAAACTCTATACGTTCTACTCTTCCTGTTCTAGGAGGTTTCATGCTGCTTTTATCAACCCCTACATTTTCCTTCACTATAGTTACAGCAGGGGAAGGCATTCCTTAACACCCATTTTTTCTTTTATTTTTTTAGAGAGAGAGATTTTTGAGATTTTTGCTATAGGGCACATGTGCTTGCCAGATAGATAGAGAGAGACTGAGAGATAGAGAGTGAAAAATCACCCCCGGGAGGGATGGTCATTCCACAATTCCTTCTCCTCCATTCTCCTCTCGGGATCTTGGGCACGTACACACATGCATCCAGCCTGAGTTTTAAGCCATGGGGTCTGGAACTTGAGCCACAGTCAACTACATGGGAGTCCAGTGGCATAACCATTATGTCATCTGCTGGTCCCCCATCTTGTTACTATAACCTCTTGAAGTTTTTTCTTGCTCTGAAAAATGGAATTGATATTTATCTCACGATATAGTTGTGAGAATCCAGGAGTACACATTTTCAAACAAAAAAAGTATTTGTTTTAAGGAACAATTACTTAGCTGTGTGATTCATATTCATTTCTGTCTCCTTGAACATCTAGTCATACTCAAGTTAGGACTTTTATTCATTCATTAGACAAATGGTCTTTGTCCCGGGCTCACAGTTTACTGAAATAAACAATCCCTGCTTCCCTTGATGAAATCAGATAAACTAAACTTTTAGATTGCACTCACCATATTACCATATTATGGCAGGGGATGGGGTGGGAGAAATTCAGTAAGTTCATGGAAAACATACATTGTGACCATATTATGGATTTCAAAATTTTTTCACCACAAAATAAACTCATACTTTAATTTCATTTTTTCATGAATTCCCCTTATATTCAGCTTGTAGATATGCCTCTAACTCACCTCCAGCAATTTCAGGAAGTTTCATTGGACATACGACACAACCAACTTGCTTTAAGTGTCTGATTAAACATAAGAACAGTACCCAGTACTTGAGACAATGGCTATGGCATGGTCTTTACTGAGGGTGCCCGTCGAGCATATTTTCATAGTAGTCCTTGAAGGTTTGAGTTTTGTTTAAAACTCTGCTTCACTCACTGGACTGTCCCCAAGAGAAGTAATTATGTCTTTTTTCATCTTGGTATTTCCCTCTCCTTTCAGAAATAGCTTAAGGTCTGAATTTAGTGGATGCTTGGTAAAGTAATTACGGATAGAACGAAATACTAGACAGAAAGGTAAAATGTTATATAGGCAAAACAACAGTTCAGAAACATAGCCACTGCTGGTCTTGCACCGATTCAGCAGACACTGAGTAAATGCCTGTCCTGCGTTACTATTAACCCTGCTAACGGTTACCATGTAGATTACGCTGCCTCACTTGGACTGCAAGTTAAATGCATCCTTTTGCTTTTCTCTTCTTTTCAGATTTAAAATTTAAGAGACCAGAAGCAAATGGGAGATGCATTCTGTGAAGTTATGGAAAGAAAGATTCATTTTAAACATTTAGGGATCCCTAGCCAACAGCTGGATTTGATACTAGTTTATTAACTCCAGACCTATGTATCTTTCTATATAAATTAAATTAAACCTTGGACACTGTGGAAAAAAATACTGAAAAAATATCCAGCTTCTCCAACAAGGGAAAAATGCCAGAATCTAAAATTGCTCAGCTTATTCTGCACTCGAACTTAATTAACATCTAGTTGGTTAGAAAATACAGCAAATTAGTCTGGTGACTTGCTCTTTTGTACAGTTTTTAGAAAATATAGTCATTTAACAGAACTGTTTTAAAATGAATCCTTCACTGACAGTTACAAATTCTGACAGCTGTGTTGCATGTTCATTGATACTGAAATTATATTTAAAATTTAAGTGCGTCTTGAATAAGTAAGCTACAAATAAGCATTTATAAACAACTTGGTTATATAAGAAAGCTAGTGACTACTATGCCACACTAAAGGAGTGGCTTTTACTTGTATGAAATTTATGTAAGACAGCAAAGACCCTGAATAGACTATAACAAATAAAAAAACTACTTCAAAAATAAGTTAGAAAACAAACATTCAAAGATCTTGTCACAAGTCAAAAAGTAAAATAGCATTTTACTATTAACCATATTATATTTATTTAAAAGCCAAATCCAGTATGAGGAAGCATGGAAATATAAATTTCAGAGAATACCTTCTGTTGGTTTTTTAATCAACTTGATCAATTTTACACAATGAAATAACATTAAGAAATACAGAAATTCAGGACCAGCAGATGGCATAACAGGTACGTCACTGGACTCTCACATAGTTAAACACAGTTCTAATCCCAGACCCAGTGGCTTAAAATTCACACTGGACATGTGTGCATGCGTGCCCAAAACCCCTAGAGGAGAATGGAGGGGAGACTGTGGTGTGGCCATCCCCCATGGCGGGGAGTGATTTCTGGCTTTTTGTATTTCTGTTTCTCTTTGTCTCTCTAGTGGGTACATGTGTCCTATAGCACAAATCTTTCTTAAAAACAAAAATATAGAAATGATGTGAATTATATTATAAAAATATGACATATTTTAAAGAAAGAGACGTAACTGTAAGAGACATGTTAATATCACAAAAACTTTAAACAGATTTAAAATATTAAGTCTTGCTAAATATCTCTCTATATATATTTAGTATGATGCAGCAGGGCTTAAGCAAATAAAAATAAAATGTTTATAAAGATAAACTTGGTGAGTGCTATTTGTCTGATTTTCTGTATTAAATGTCAGATATTATAAGAAATCCATAGGTCTAAGATTGCAAGTGCATTTTCAAATATAAGGCAATTATTACTCTTGAAAGCAGCAGCTTTTACTGTTTAAAAAAGCTAGTAGCAGCATGTAAAAATAAACATTACAAAACACTGAGTAAAACAACTTTTACCATGAAAAGATGAATCGGATTAAAAATATAAAGCACCTTTCTTTCAAAACCAACTATGGGTGAAGACCCCCATCTCAGAATAAACCCATCTAAAATCGCTCAAGCTTCCTTTACTTGAGAAAGAATACATCTGATTCTACATCTGACTGTGTTGAAAGAACACAGTTCGTGTCCCTAGGAAGCTAAAGTGCAGTGGAGGCAAATCATCGGAGTGTAGGACTCATATATATGCTTCTACATGGTTACTATAGTTACTACAGATGAGTATAGTTTTACTGGCTACACAGTCTTTCCTGACAAGCTGTAGACCACAGAGAAGTAGCATGCTCCCTGTGTTCCGTGGTTTTCTTTGCATAGATACAGATTTTTTTTAATGTAAATAGAAAGCAGCAAAAAAAAAAGTGTTAAGCAGTATCAGGCTTGGTAGTTTTTGTTTTTAAAAAGTGCTACACAAAATGTCACATTTCAGAATCTAACAACATCACTCTAATTCGTGCCATTAGAACAGACTGATGATTACTGGGATCTGCTCGAAAGAGAAAAACAATCACCTCTTCTGTATCACGTCCAGTGAGATACAAGAGTTCAATAGGCAATCTTAGAGATTTGGCCAGACACGTTTTATATATAAGGCATCTGTGACTAAGAGAGGCTCTGTATTACGCGTATAAATGTATTAGGTGTAAGCGTATTAAGTGCAAGCTTCTTAGAAAGGCACTGGTGTCTCTGCCTTGCTCAGGGATCTAGACTGGCCGTGGCCTGGTCAGCTCTTCTTCCGACACTCAGGTCCTGCCTCCTTGCAGGCAGATCCTGAGTCCTCCCCAGTGAGTAACAGGGGAGCAGCTGTGGACAATATAAATCTTATAACTGATTGAAATATGTGTGTATGTGTGTTTTGTAATAAACTCAAATTTCCCATTGAAATTTTAATAAACTTTGCATCATTCTGCAAACCGCCTTTGGTTTTGATTCCACGTGGACAAGTAAAATGTTCCTTGTTCTATAAAACGTATTTATGCCTGCCCCTTCTTTTCCTTTTAAAACCTAAAAATGTCTTTCTTTCCCCTGGAATCAAGTTTGTCTTCTATAACAGACTGCGTTTATGGACAGGAGAGAGGAGAGAAGCCATGTCACAAAGACTACTCTTAAAGCTCGCCATTTCACCACCTACTAAGGTGAAACTCTAGGATTCATTTCCCCTTATCTCCTGTTGATAGTATTTTCAAGACCATTCTGTATATGACTAATACACTTTCCAGGATGAACTCCTTGTCTACCAAGTAGACTCAACACGTTTACATTGCATTCTTATACTCATTCTCTTGACCTACCTGACAAATGTCCCATAAAAATAACATGCAAAGTAGAGAAATATATTTGCAAATACTTGAGCCTTGACTGTAAACCTAATCCAATATTCCCCAGATTTTTAATAATCATGATTGATGGTTTGCTTTGTGCCTTTATCTTGATGAACGCGGTGGTGGTGATCTTTCAAAATACATGAAGTCCTGAAATTGGAAGAAGAATGATATGTGAACAGATAGAAAGACAGATAGTTTATTGATTATAATACATACAATGTTATCTTGTATCATTTATCAAGGGAATTGTTCATTCCAGTGAAAAATAAACACATCTAATGAAATCTTTATGAAGAGGATCTAATGTGAAGAGTACCAATTACAAACTTGACCTTGTCGATAGACAGCCTGATTTCCATTTTGGGTACCACTGAGCTAAATATTATCATTAAAAGCAGGAAAAAACGTGCTAAATCTAAGATCGGTACAACAGCAAGGGGTACTTTGACAGGAGCAGTAAAGAGGGGGTAAAGGACATTAGCTTTAGAGTTATTTTATTTCCTTAAAGAATCCCAGAACAGACATTTTAGATTAGTGCACATGGTAAAAACATGCAGTAATGCCAAGTATACCCACTAGATGCCTAATATCTTCCAAATACTTTCCTGGCACTTTACTCACATCGTCACTAATACCCATAACCTGAAAAAACACAAGTTTTCTATCTCCATTTTACAGATGAGGATACTGAAGCTTAGATTATTAAACATTTGTGAAACAGTAATGAGTAAGTGCACAGGAAGTATCCGGCCTAGTTGCAAGTGTGTTCCCTTTCTACAACACCACACGGTTTCCTGTCAGAAAGAATTCCCTCAGGATAACTCACAAATAAAAGGCTTACAATGAGAAAGCACGCTCCAAAAATCATGGCTTTCATCTTCACATCCAGGTCCAGGGGGAAGTGAATGTCAAAGTGGTCAGCGTCCGCCATGGTTGACATCAAACCATTCCACTTCCTAATAATACTGCCGATGTGGGACACACCATCCAGGGACTTGACCTAGCGTGACAAGAATGTGGCTTTATGATGCATGAAAGATAGATGGTGTGGTGGTTGAGGTGCTGGATCCCACATGGCCAACTGCATGGTACACCTGCCAGCATGTGTGCATGTGTCTCCAGAATCCTGAGAAGTGAATGGAGAAGGAACTGTGGCATGGTCACTTTTTTCCTGGGAGGGTGATTTCTCACTTTCTCTTTGCCTTTCTCCAGCAAGTGCACATGTCCTATGGCAAAAATCTAAAAAATAAAAAATAAAATAAAGAAGGACCCTGGCACTTGCCCCAAGAAAAATACCCAAATATCCAATGATCACTTGGCAATAAGAATGATTGCATGACTTGCCCTCGATACCTGGCTTATCCACATGTTCTACAGTGCCTTTTTGATAAAATAAGCAATACTTAATGATACGGTAATACAAAATGAGAACTAAGAAAAGTTTCCTGGGTACCACAGATGTATTTGAAGAACCAATTTTAGCAGATGATAGGTCTTGCCGAATTGCAAGGCATTCAGAAAGTGTACTTTAAGAAACCCAGAAAATATTTCCAAGAATTCCCTTTGTCAGATTCATACAGTAATAAACATTTTGTAGCCATTGACATGAAGGCAAAACAAAAAGATTTTTTTTCCTTAAGAAAATGTTTCGATACAGTCTACTTTGAGTTTTATCCATTTTTGCAGCTAAGCTATTTCTCTGGCTGCATCTAGACTAATCTTCCTCAAAGTGGCAATTTGCAAACCTTAGGCCTGCTCTACAGGGTCTCTCATTATGTGGGACAGTTGTAAACCTAGAATCTATATTCCCACCCTGAAACTCTTTGGAAAAATGGGTAATTAAATATAGCCAAAAATAGAATAGTCTGTCAGAAGGCTTACTGCTTTTCATCAAGTACTGAAATAATAAAGAGGATTTCACAGTTTAGGAAACATCAAGCCATCTACTAACTAATTTTAAAAATTATCTGATGTTGACTGGTCAATCAATCTTTCTTCATACTGCTTTATTCATGCATATAGAAAAAACTGCCTAAGCCAGGCCACTCTGAGGTCTGTGAGCATGTAAAAGGAAAAATTAGTAGGAACATGATTTATATATATGTTTACCTCAAAAACAGAATCGGACCCACAGCCGTAGGTAGAGCATGGTCCACGCACCCTCAGGACATTCTCTTTCTTCTCATTCTGGATGCTATACACCGCCCTGCACAAATTCCAGTGCTCGGCCACAAACCCGATGGTGCTGCCAGGAGGACACTGTACCTCCAGCTGCCAAAGAGTCAGGGACAGGGGTTAGGATACATGTACACATGCATATACACATACATGTGCATCATATACTCATATACATCCACACATACATGCATAGACACATACATACACATACATATACATACACTCACAGACATACAGACGTACACACAGAGACACAGTTTGTAAGCATAAACATATAGACATACACACAGACACATATGCACACACAGGCACATATATGTACACAGACACATGTGTGGACATGCATACACATACATGTACACAGAGACACATAGATGTAGACATATAGGCGGACATACATACACATATATATGTACACACAGAGTTGTGCGTACATGCACATATGTGTACACAGACATGTATGTGCATGCATACACATACACACGTACACATGTATATGCATAGACACATGAACATACATGCACATGTGTGTATACAGAGATGTAGACATACATGCATAGTCACATGGATTTACATGCATAGATACATAGGTGTACATGCATAGACTCATATATGTACATGCATAGATATATATACATAGACATATATACATACCCACATACACATATATACACACATAGACACATACATATATACATATACTCATATACACAACATAGATGTGCTCTTGCTTATTCAAGGACAAGGGATATGAGAGTTGGAAGAGAAAGTCTCCCCTCTGCTCTGGACCACTTTTAGGGGTATAGTTCAGTGAGCAGCCTTACAGCATGAGGTGCCGTTTCCCTTGGAACAAAGAGCGGGCTTAATTACTGCTTGTTACAAAATGGCGAGGTGTCGGAGCTCAGTGCTCGTGCATAGCCTGGACCGTCCCCTGGAATTTGGGGACAAGGAGCAGCTACACAAAACGCTGCTGCTCCTACTGCCACTGTGTTGGAAGAAAGGTCTCTGCTGCTGATGGAGGGCTCACAGCAACAGGCTAGCATCTCAGATTTCAAGTTAAGCAAAACCAAATCCTAGACATGATTATTACAGAAAATAAAAAGAGGTAAGAGGCATTCTAGAAACTGTGTATTGTGAAAACAACTGAGTGTATGTAGAGGTGTATGAAAGCACTTTAAAAAAAGATGTATTTAATTTTATTATTATAATTTTAAAATTTGCTATAGGGCACATGCACTCACTAGAGGCAGAGAGAGAAAGTGAGAAAGCAAGCTGCCAGATCTGGGACTCAAACTGTGGTTGAGCATGTGGGAGACCAGCATCTTAACCACCATGCCACCTGCTGGCCCCGAAAGCCACTTATCTAATTGCCTGAGAGTGCACACGTTTCTGCATCTGTGTGTGAGAGAAAAAGACAGGAGTACTCCTGCCCCATTGGGAGTGGTTACTCTGCAATCCTTTTCCCTCTATTTAGCCTTCTCATCAGAATTTTGGGTCCACACACGTGCCTGGCATGTTTTTCAGACTCAAGGCTGAGATTTGAACCACCGTCAGTTATATGGAATCTGGTTCTCTTAACCACTGTGTTTCAGGGCTGGCTCTTCAAAGTCATCCTTAAAAAGAGTTTTAAAATATTGTCCACTATCTTGTTTTAACTAATTATTTTTACATTATTACTTCCTGAAGAACTAATATCAGCCTATATAATCACAAAAGAGACATAAAGATTAAATTATTTAGTAAAAGGCCAAAGTAAAAATTCTATTGAGTATTTCCCTAGGGTTAACTGTACTTTCCTAAGGATTTTTAGAAAGGACAACACAGGACACAGAATAGGACTGCAAACCTTTGCAAGTTGCCAGATCAGGACATTATTGCTCATGTATAAAAATTCACACTAATTCACAAACTATAAATTTGATAGCTTCTTGGAACTGATATCTCACATAACTTGAAGCCAAAGAGGTTTTTAAAAACTAAAATTAAATTAATTACTTTACAATATTCATATCATGAGGCTGGCAGGTAGCTTGATGGGTAAAGGTTCTGGACTACCACATGGCCAACTGCAGTTCAAGTCCTGGACCTGGCAGCCTGCACTCACTCTCTCTGGTCAGAATTGAAAAATAATGATAATAAATAATTCTTTTTTAAAAAAAAAAATTAAACCATGATACACTAATCAGCCATAAAAAGGAATGAACTATTGGGGCCAGTAGGTGGTGTGGTAGTTAACATTCTAGTTAGACTTCCACATGGCTGACTATGGTTTGAATCCCAGATCTGGCGGATTGCTTTCTCTCTGTCTCTCTCTCTCTCTGTCTCTCTCTCTCTCTCTCTAGTGAGCTCATGTGCCTTGCAGCAAATTAAAAAATGGTAATGATGACAAGTAAAATTAAATAAATAATTCTTTTAAAAAAAGGGAATGAACTATTATGATACAAAACAGTTTATATGAATCTCAAGGTAATTAGCCTAGTTAAAATAAAAAGCTAACCTTGAAAGATTATTTATTATTATAATTGTGTATATATCAAATTTTTGATAAGATGAAATTATAGAGAGACAGAAAACAGAGTAGTGGTTACCAAGGTTTAGGGATGAAATGAAGGGAAGAAAGTGGGTGTGGTCATGAAAAGGGGTTTTTGTGGTGATGAAAGTGTTATTTATTTATATTATACTGGTGGATAAAGGAATCTGTACAGTTAATAAAATGGCATGACTGGGAACCAGCAGTTAGCATAATGGCTATGTTGCTGGACTCCCACGTAGTCGACCGGTTCGTGTCCCAGACCCAGTGGCTTAAAACTCACGCCGGGCGCATGTGCGTGCATGCCCAAGATCCCGAGAGGAGAATGGAGGAGAAAGGATTGCAGCGTGACCATCCCCTCTGGGGGGTGATTTCTCACTTTCTGTCTCTATGTCTCTCTCTGTCTGTCTGGTGAGCACACGCACCCTATAGCAAAAACCTCTCCAAAAAAAATAAATAAATAAAAATAAAAAAAAAATAAAATGGCATGGCAAACATCAATACAAGTGAAACAGAAGATAGCTGGAACCAAAAGATAGCATAATAGTTACGTCACTGGACTCCCACATGACCGACTACTGTTCAAGACCTGGACTTGCCAGCTTGAAACTCACCCTGCACACATGTGAGTATGTGCTCAAAATTCCAAAAAGAGAATGAAGGAGAAGGGATTGTGGTGTGGCCATCCTCTGTAGGAGGCGATTTCTCACTATCTATCTCTTTCTGTCTCTGACTCTCTAGCAAGTGCACGTGCCCTAAGGCAAAAATTTGTCAAAAAAAAAATAAAAAAAAGAAAAAAGATCTGAAAAAAAAAATCTAGAGGGACCAGCAGTTAGCATAATGGCTAAGTCGCTGGACTCCCATGTAGTCGACTGCGGTTTGTGTCCCCGACCCGGCAGATTAAACTCACGCCAGGCACATGTGCATGGATGCCCAAGATCCCGAGAGGAGAATGGAGGAGAAGGGATTGCAGTGTGGCCATCCCCCCGGGGGGGGGGGAGATTTCTCACTTTCTGTCTCTCTGTCTCTCTCTTTCTCGCGAGCGCACACGCACATAGCACATAGCAAAAAAAGCTCTCAAAAACAAAAGAAAATCTAGATAATGTTATAGGAAAAAAGTTTCCTAAATTGGACTATTTGCAATTTTAATTTCCTTTGTTCTGGCTTCCTATAATTTCAAAGGCTACTTTTATAGGCTTTGATTTAAAAAACTCAACTCATAAATATGAAAAATGCTTATCATATGCAAAAGCATTGAGCATAAGAGATTCACTTTAAATATAAGGTTGCTATTATGAAGATAATAACGGCAAAAAAATAACACATCTGAGAACAGTAGATAATATTTATCAAGCATTATGCTATTTGCTAGGCACTGTACCAAGCAAATAACATTGATTCGTCACTTAATCCTCAGAAAATCATCCTATCGGATAGGATAATGTCTCCACTTTACAGATAAGGGCACAGACAGTTGTAAAGAACTCAACATTTAGTAAGTGCTGGTACTTAACACAATATATCACTTCAATCACCCAGTAATGCTATGAGGTATTGTTCTACCCAGTTTATAAATAAGAACACTGAGACTCACTGAGGACAGAACAATTATCCAGACTTAATTGGACAGCATATCTGAAATTCAGACTCTAGTTGGTCTCTTTTTTATTTTATTTATTTTTTTTTGAGAGGTTTTTGCTATAGGGTGTGTGTGCTTGCGAGAGAGACAGAGAAAGCGAAAAATCACCCCCTAAGGTGGATGGCCATGCCTCAATCCCTTCTCCTCTCAAGATCTTAGGCATGCGCCCGGCATGAGTTTAAGCCTCTGGGTCCGGGACTCGAACCATGGTCGACTACATGGGAGTCCAGCAATGTAGCCATTATGCCAACTGCTGGTCCCTTGTTGGCCTCTTTCTAAAACCATTTACTTACAGAAGACTCACTACACTGTAAGAGTACATCTGCATTTTAGTTCTGCACTGTGGACTGCCAAGAGCGACACCCCTGTCAGGCACCTAATTTTTCTGGGCCACTCTCTATATATTGGGTCATCGGAAAAGTCATGACGCAGTTTTGCATACAAAAATATGTCATGACTTTTCCGATGACCCAAAGGAAAGGCGTGGGCTGCGATGGGTAGCGTAAAGTATGCTGTGCAAAGTCTCTCCCGAGGTTCAAAGCAGATGCTTGTGTCTAGTATTACCTTGTCTGACACGATGTAGGTACATTTGAATAAATGTGTGGGTGACTACTGTCCATCTTCATTTCTACGAATAACTCAGTGGACACAACAAGCAGAACTGTGATCCTTCCTAATCAGCTCTGATGTGTGCGCCACCTACTAGCCTGCGCTTGGAGAAGATCCTTGTCTGACTTTCCTTAGGTGAGAACATCACACTTCCTCCCACCCCACTCGCTTCTTCCATTCTTAGTGAGAGAGCCAGAGACAATCCCCTCCTGTGTAGCTTCAGAATGAGGATAACCCTGGGGCCACAGTTAGCGTAATGGCTATGTCGCTGCACTCCCATGTAGTCGACCACGGTTCGCGTCCCGGACCCGGTGGCTTGAAACTCACGCCGGGTGCATGTGCGTGCGTGCCCAAGATCCCGAGAGGAGAATGGAGGAGAAGGGATTGTGGCGTGGCCATCCCCCCTGGGGGGTGATTTCTCGCTTTCTGTCTCTGTCTCTCTCTGTCTGTCTGGCGAGCGCACGCACCCTATAGCAAAAACCTCTCCAAAAAAAATGAGGATAACCCTGTGAAGAGTTGGATGGGGAAGAAACGATGGGTTAGGCTTCCATTCTCTGACCTCTTGCCTGGCTGAGGGGCAACAGAAGCAACAGCAGGTACATCGGAAAGGCCTCTGCATTGTCATGATTTCTCGGCCCACACAGTCAGTGACCCGCAGGACGAAGGGCCTGAGTGTCCGATAAGCATTCCTGGTAAAGTCATCCGTGTCTTCATTTACAAGGTAGACCATCTGGTCTGAGTTGTTTTTAACATCATATCTATTGTTAGTTTCAAAATGTGTCATCACTAAAACATAAAATTGAGAAAGCCATCTTACATTAGAGCCTTCGTTAAAAGGGCTATACGAAGCCCTTGTTTAGAGTCTTAAAGCACATTAGCTTTTAAAAACATTTCAGGTAAAATATGCACAATGGATTAGGACACCAAAACATGTTTATATACCCTAAAAGCATTTGAGTAATGTTTAACATTTAAAACATCGAAGAAGTTTAGTGTAAAATAACTCTTAGAATTTTTCCCAGTAAAGGCAAAGGTTGAAACAATATTCCTGGAGTATTAGAATTCTGAAAAGTTTACTTATAAAGCCACTTAAATGAAATTGTACATTGGACCATATATTAATCAGCTAATGAAATAAGCCGAGATGACTAGGGTCCTTACTAACTGCAGATAAGAAAACAAACTAAGGAAAGTCAAAGGCCCTATGTGGTGACCAACTGAGTAAGCGAATGCAGCGAGGTCAGTACCTCTGTGAGGAAACATTGAGAACAGCCATCATGTTACCGACAGTAATGCCTTCCCCCAGAGCAAGGGCACTGGGCTAGAGTCAGCAGGCTTGGATTCTCTTTCCAGCTTGGCCGCTGATGAGCAAACTATGATTCAGCTTCTATTTCTAGCTTCGCAACTGAGTGGTTAACTATGCTGCCCCTAGCAAACTCATCTTCAAAAGGAAAATAATGCAGAAAGCAGCATGGGTAAGTGGTAAGGAGGGCTGACTGGCTAAAACATAAGTCCTTTCCAAGTCTAAGAGCGTATCATTACGTGAGCTAGGTAAAACTGGACAAAACAATTCACTTTGTTACTTTCTTGAAGACAGCGTAACAGATGACAGTCTTTCCTCAGTGAACCACAAAACAATGGCTCAATATAAGAAAAAGGAATAAACACTGGATAATGCAAATTTCCACCAGATTAAAATACTGCTAAACACCACAGAATTATACGTACGTTCCAGAGGTTCAAAATGCTGAAGAACATGTATGTTGTCCAACTGTTGGGATAAAAGAAAGCAATTAGAAGATAGAAATAACAGAGTTGAATCAAATTGTAACAGCAAGTACTAGCAGATGGAGTAATGGCTCTGTCACTGGACTCTCATGTAGTTGACCACAGTTCGAGTACCGGACCTGGTGGCTTAAACTCATACCAGGCACGTGTGCATGTGTGCCCAAGATCCTGAGAGGAGAATGGAGGAGAAGGGATTGCAATATGTCCATTTCCCTTGGGGGGTGATTTCTTGCTTTCTGTCTCTCTGTCTCTCTCTTTCTGGTGAGCGCACGCACCCTATAGCAAAAATCTCTCAAAAAAGAAAGAAAGAAAAAAATTATAACAGCATTAGAAAAGAAACTAGTAAGTTTTTAAATGTATTGATTGATACCAAAGTGCCTGTTCTGAAATTAAATAGAATAAAAACATTTACCAAGTGGAATTAGCTTACCTGCATCTGCTATAGATAATTATTAGTAGAGCTGTTGAAAAAAAAAAAACTTTTCTCCTGTATTTTAAAAACAGTTGCCTCCTATATCAGAAAAATATCTACTATATTATAGCTATAGCTTCTGGAAGAAGCCAAGTTTACGTAGATGTTCCTAGATCAGTCCCTGCTCCCTGGGCTCCCTGACATGTCATCTAGAGACTGGAGTCTAGGAAGGTCAGGATGATTCATCATGAGCCGCCATAGAAAGGGCAATTCTCTCTGTGGCTTAAGGAGAGCATAAGCCTGGACTTCCACATTACTTCACAGGCCTCTCTAGAAGGGCTTAACATGTAGACAGGTTAACACTGACTCGTATCACTTGAGCTACTAACACCAGTGCTTCCTGGAGTGCATACATTTTTTAAGGAAGAGTTCATGCATGCAGGAAGCATGTGAGTAGGTTTAGGGAAAGGGAGACAGAACATGCTTAGGTGGAAACACATGAAAAGGAAGGTTGATGGGCCAGCAGGTGGTGTGGTGGATAAGGGTGCTGGACTCTCTCATGACCGACCATGGTTCAAGTCCTGGACCTGGCAGCTTGATTTCTCACTCTCTCTCTCTCTCGCTCTCTCTCTCTCGCTTTGTCCCTCTCTGGTCAAATTAAAATAAGAAAATAAATAAAGTTAAATAAAATAATTCTTAAAAAAGAAAAGGGAGGTTGAATGCACCATTAATGAAATTCTTAACTGCCCAGTAATCATTCTAAAGATGGATGGTTTGACAAGCCCATTGCCTGTTATAATTGAGAACATTCTAGTAAAGAGAAAAAAACATATTTGCAGTAAGACTGATTATATTTATTACATAATTATGTGTGTATATATATACACATAATATAAATATAAATATATTTACATATTTATTATATATATTGTTTTTACATATTATAAATATGTATTTAAATCATATATATATAAAATTACAAATCATTAGAACTTTTCTGATCCCTGATCCCGCAACACTGACTTAAATGCTCTATTTCACCAATTATTTGTTGGATGCATTAATAAAAATGTATGAATGCGGTTGTAAATAAAATTAAAAATAACAGAACATGAAGGTTTTGTGGTATAATTAAATATAATAGAGTACAGAGAGGACAGAATTCATAATTAATTACAAACTGTTTTTTGGGGTGTTTTGTAGATTTTTGCAGGAGGGCACATGCACATGCCAGAGAGAAAGAGAGAGAAGGGAAAGTAAGAAAGTGACCTCCCTGGGGCATAGCCCTCCCGCTACATTTCTCATTCCTTCTGGGATTTGGGGCACACATGCACAGGCACCTGGCATATTTCAGAAGCTAGTGAGTCTGGAACTCAAACCATACGGTCAGCCACATGGGATCCAAACATCTTAGCCATCACACAACAATCTGGCCCTAAAAGCTTTTTCTTACACGAAAACACAAAAGGGTCTAAAATACCTTTAAAAATATCTGAAGTTGCTAAAATGAAAAGCTAAGCTAATCTATCACTACTTGATAAAATATCCACTGCCGAGCAAAATATCCTGAGCCACTAACGCCCATTAAAGTGGAAGATAACACTATGGCAACTCAGAAGCCATGGTTTTGACAGATTGGTACAGGCACTGGCAAAGCCAACACTCCAGAGAGAACACAATCTTGCTACTTTGAGTGTTAAGTCTTGGTAGTCTTGAGAAAGACTCATGTAACTTGCACATGAGATCTCAAAAAGACTGGAGTAGAGAAAGGGAAATGAGGGGCTCTGTGTCTTGTGCTCTTACCCAAGGAGGTGTTTCAACATCCACACGGCTATCACCCATTAGGTGGGCCTTGTGAGGCAAGAATATTAGGCACATTGTAACCTTATCTCATCCAAAACTCCCATAGCAACCTGATAAGGTAGTTATTTCTATTGACTGTACTACTGATATCTTATAGATGGTGAAATTCAAGCCCCAACAGGTTAGGAAAGTTATGCAAAGTTTTAGAGTTAGCAATTAATAGAGATCTGACATGTGTTTGAATGATTCCTTCACTTATTTATTTTAACTCAATATATTCCTGAGAGAAGAAGTAGAACCCATAAAATATGTCCTCTAAAATTATATTATTTATTTCTTCCATGAACAAGAGAAACAGAGACAGCACTCCCAACAGAGTCTTAATCCACCAGGTCACGGGCATGCAATGCCCAGCATACTCAGGCAGGTCTCTGGACATGAACCCGGAACTTTGCTGTGTGGGTCAGCCTTAAGAGTGTTGTGTCTTACCACTATGTCACCATCTGACATCAAAATAGGTTAATTTAACCACTTTTAGAGTAATAGAAGAAATGATGAGAGAAAGGGTGAGAGACAGACAGGTATGCTGTGATCAGCTGCCCTGGATTTCCAGCCAGCTAAGATCATGAGGGCAGACACATGCCTACCATAGACCCATCTGAACTCTGCAGGGACACATGGTCCCACCATGGCAGAGGTGTGCACCACCACCTGCACCCCCACAGCAGGCCCTACGATACTTTCCCCCATACTTATTCCTACTTCTAGTTTCCTAATTTCCTTCAAGAAGACAAATGTCTGTCTAAAATCTTGATATAGACTCTTTATGAAATCTGTCCTCATCCCACTAAAACATAAACATCCCTATACTTTTTGCTTTCTGAAATAAGCACTCCTGGGACCAGCAGTTAGCGTAATGGCTATGTCGCTGGACTCCCACATAGTCGAACGCAGTTCGAGTCCGGACCCAGTGGCTTAAACTCACGCCGGGCACGTGTGCATGCGTGCCCAAGAACCCGAGAGGAGAATGGAGGAGAAGGGATTGTAGCATGGCCATCACCCCACCGGGGGGTGATTTCTCACTTCCTATCTCTCTGTCTCTCTGGTGAGCGCACGTGCCCTATAGCAAAGACCTCTCCAAAAAAAGAAAAGAAATAAGCACTCCTCGGTTTATACTCATAAAGTAGATATCTAACATTATTGACCCATCCCATTCCTTTTAATCATTCTATCCATTCTTCTGTCTCTTCCTATTGGATTCCCCATGGTCATATTTCATAAGAAAACAACTTGGATTTACATGAAGTACCTGAGTGAGGTATTCCAGACCAGGAGGGCAGTTAGCCATAGGTGTTGGCCCTGGCATCCATGTTATTGGAACAGGCTGAATCGTCCCAGGGTATTTTCCAGGTTGATACTGGATGGGACGGGTACCGCTGGTTGACTGGTACAGGGGGTAGGTACTGGGCTGCTGTGGACTGTAGTATCCCATAGGCAAGCCTCCTGGATAGCCTGCAGGTGGAGGGACAGCTACTCCAGGGGGCCCTGTGTTCAACAACAAGCAAAATTGTTACACAGTATTAACACTACAACACAGTGGAAGTCAGCCTGACTTTTAACATACACATGGAATGGATTATACAACACCTACTTAATAATAATGAATTGTTCTATTTTCTCCTTTTTTAATTTTTTAAAATTTATTTTATACATTTGGGGCCAGTAGGTGGTATAGTGGTTAAGTGCTCTGGACTCCCACATGGCCGAGTGTGGTTCGAGTCCTGGACCTGGCAGCTTGCTTTCTCACACCCTCTCTGTCTCTCACTGTTATTTCTCTCTGGTCAAATTAAAAATAAATAAATAAACAAATAATTATTTTAAACAAATTTTAAATAAAAATGTATTTTGTACATGCAATCACTATACATCACTTAGCTTGTAAAGTGAATTTATCCAACTGAATACACTTCATGCCCATCCAGTTGAGAATATGATACGCGTTATCATCAGCAGATAATCATCCATTTGTGTCCCATAAATGTCTTGCCTCTCTGTTTTTCTCCTTCTTTCCTCACACACTCCTCCTTCTCCCTCTATTTTCTCTTATACCCTGTACCAACAAGGCACTGAGAACATTTCCTTACATATTCATTCATTTAGTCTTCTTAAACCTTATAAGATAATTACTCCCATTTCAGATATGGAGAAATAAAGTTTGGAATCTTTTTTTTTTAACTGCTACTTTGATTAAGGTATTTATTCAAAATAAGCTGTCCAAAATAATTCAATCTTTACACAATAAACCAGTTTAAGGGATTATGCAGCAGTTTCTTTCCTTCTGTGGTAGGATTCTTTGCTGCTGGCATCTTTTCAGCTGCTGGTTTCCTGGTAGCTGCAGCCTTTGTTCCCACCAAAGGTTTCTTCTGCTTCTTAGCAGCGACTCCTTTTCCTTTCTTCCCTACCACAAGCCTCTTGCCGACGACAACACCTTCTCGTCAGTTTTAGCCTCTAGCGCACTGCTGCCACCTTACCCAGCTGGCGTCTGTGATTCTTGACCTGGGGAAGAATGGTGTTCCGGTGCATCGTCTTTGCATATGGGTTAAGCTTCAATGCGATTTTCAGGGTTTTCTGGTGGTTTCTTCTTCAGGACTCTGCAATGAATCTTCTTGAGTGGTGATCGGAGGGCTCTTTGGATCTTTGGACTTTTCACAATGCCGCTAAGGTCTGTGTTCATCATCTTGTGCATGAGAAGACTGAAGTTACTCTTGAGGAAAGCAGATTTCCACCAAGTGCCGTACAATTCGTCTAACTTCCAGAAAGCACTTTCCATCCAAATGCAGAAACATCCCACATGCCCACCAGGAGTAAGTTTCAGAATGTGCAACCTCCTTTCATTAAGCAGAGTGATTCCTGGGATGTATCCAAAGGCCTTGAAGATACCATTGCCTTCGCTATAGAGGATGCCGGGTCCCCTGTGCTGGATACGATGACGGTTTCTCATTTTTCCCTGGCCAGCTCTTATTCCCGAGAGGCATAGACCATTTTTATGTCATTCCAGGCCTTTAGTTTCTTCAGAAGCAAAACAGCCTCCTTGGTCTTCTTGTAGCCTTCAACTTTATCTTCAACCACCAAAAGAAGTTCAGGAACTTCCTCAACAAAATGACCTTTAGACATGACCAGAGCTGGTGAGGCCAAGGAGCCAGGGCAGAGAAGATGGTGAACTGTGTTTGGGAAGTGTTCACTCTACCGTGCCACCGGAGCCAGTTCTGAGTTGGTGCAAACATGCAACCTCCTGGAAACATTAAACATTTCTGAAAATATCCTGTCCAGATCGGTAAGACCCACCACCTCAAACTCTGGGGATTCGAGCCACAACTCTCTCAGTCCCCAGACTCAGTGCTGGTCTGATAACTTGCTAATTCACTGACAGCATAGGGCTGTCTGTCATTTTTGTGCACATTGGTGTGAACAAAGTTCATGATATCTGGTCAAATGGAAGCCTTGAATAGAGCAAGCAAAGTGACATTTTTGCTACATGACTCCCCCTTTTCAGAGTACACTGGCATTGGTGGATGAGCACACACCATGGAGGGGAAAGGAGAAGACCCAAGGCGTGGAACATCTTAACATCGCAAATATTAGGTCTCTCCTTTGGAGATAACATACTTATTTAATCAGGTTGAGTGGGATTAGCATATGATAACACTGTAAATTGTTATTATATTTATTGTTGTTATTGTTTAAGGTCACAAAGATAGTAAGATCTAATTTACTTCAAAGGAGTGCTTTGCATGATTATGCTGGGCTACCTTTGTGTTCTAGTTCTGAGTTCCTCAACCCTGGCATCTTTTCAAATCAGTTTCTTAGGCCTATTGTCTCATTAGTTGGGGCTGCTATAATAAAATACCACAGCTGTGTTGCTTTGTCAACAAAAATAACCAACTCTGCAAAATAATAATTAATACGGTTTATTTCTATGCACAAATCTGAGTGGCCTAGGCCCAGAGAGGAGGCAAAACATGCCTTTCTCGGGGTGATCAGGTACAGGGGTTCTTTTATTTGATTTTGAGAGTGAGGGACAAAGTTTAGGATTTAGTGAAGAGCTTTCCATTGGTCTGGTCCCAAAAGGAGGGACATGTGGAAGAGGGGACTTGTAGGTTATAGGTGGTTCCACAATTTTTAGATTGGTGATTGAATAGAGAGGTCTGTGTTTTGGGAAGGGATCAGCAAAGAGTGTAACAGAGACAAGGGGGCTTGTATACCGTCACAGGATACTGCCTCTGGAGCCTGCAGGTGGCTTAGGGTTGAGGCGCTAGACACTCCCATGCGGCTGGTCACGGCTTGAGTCCCAGACCTGGTGGCTTGCTTTCTCACTCTCCTTCTCTCTTTGTCTCTCTGTCTCTCTCTGGTCAAATTAAAATAAATGAATGAATAAATAAAATTAAATAATTCTTTAAAAAAACAAAGATACTGTCACAAGGACAAGATGTTGGAAGAGTCCTGGTTTCAATGAGTCAAAATGATGTTAATGATGGTGGGCGTGACTCATCCATCACAGGGATGCTATGCCAGGGACAGGATGTAGGGAGGTTTCTGTTACCAAATGGGTCAAACTGGTCAGTTATGTCTGTGGGCATTTCTCACCCCAGGTCCTTTGGAAGGGATTTTAGAAACAGGAAAAAGCAGTCAGATCTCTGTCCTCAGCTTCAATGACTAGCATTTCTTTCTCACAGTTCTGGTGCTTATCAAACTCATGGTCAGGCTGGTGAGGACTCTCTTCCTGATTTGCACACAGATATCTTCCTGCTGTGGCCTCACCAGGTGAAGAGAGAGATCATCTCTGTGTAGTCTCTTATCATAAGGGTATTCATTCTTTTTCATTTTTTTTAAGAGGTTTTTGCTGTAGGGCATATGCGTACTCACCAGAGAGACAGAAAGTGAGAAATCACCCACTAGGGGGGATGACCACGCCACAATCACTTCTCCTCCATTCTCCTCTCAGGCACGTACACACACACACACACACACACACGGTGTGAGTTTTAAGCCTCTGGGTCCAGGATTTGAACTGTGGTCAACTATGTGAGTTGACCAGTGACGTAACTATTACGCCTACTGCTGGTCCCAAGAGTATTAATTCTATCATGAGGGTTGCACCTCATGACCTAATTAAGTCTGAAAGGCCCTATCTCTAATATCATCACATTGGGAACTAGTGCTTCACTATGTGAATTTGGGGAATACAGACATCAAACATTCCAACCATAGAACTTTTCGCTCCACCATTTCTTCTCACCTACCTCCAACAGAAATCTGATACATTTTGTCTTCATCATAAGTCAGTCAAAGGATCTGAATTTTTTTTTTTAAGAAGAAATATTTTATAATGAATTAACACAAAAAAAAAAAACCCAAATGTGTGACTTTAGGATTCTTTTTTTTTTTTTTTAATGATCTCTTAAGCAGTGGTCACTTTTTTGAAAAAATTACTTATTTATTTACTTCATTCTATTTGTTATTCTTTTTTAATTTGATCAGAGGAAGGAAAAGTGAGAAAGCAAGCCTGGGACTCGAACCAAGCTTGGCTATGTGAGAATCCAGCGCCTTTAACCACCACACCACCTGCTGGCCCCAGCAGTGGTCACTTTTAATTTCACAATAACTTTTATAATTCAAAGAATTCTTGGGACCAGCAGATGGCATAATGGTTATATCACTGGACTCCCACGTAGTTGACAGCAGTTCAAGTCTTGGATCCAGCAGCTTAAAATTCTTAAACCCACACCCAGATACATGTGCATGCATGCCCAAAATCATGAGAGGAGAATGGAGGAGATGGGATTGCAGCATGGCCATCCCCCGGGGTGGTGATTTCTCACATTCTGTCTGTCTCTTTCTGTTTCTCTGGCAAGCACACATGCCCCACAGCAAAAATCTCTCTTAAAAAAAAAAAATTCAAAACATTATCAGCATATAGCTAGAAGGATGCTCATGTTGCTGAGCTATATCTCTCGTTACCATACATTTCCAAATAATTTTGATCACTGTCATTCTTTTTTATTTTTGTCTTCAAGGTTTTGTGCAAAGTCTTGTGGCTGAAAACAGAAATTAATTATGTAAATCAGGAGATCTCATGGGCCCAGCCACAGAGGCACAAGTGGTAGAACGCTACTGTTCAACGCTGGAGCCATATGGGAAAGCCCAGAGTTCAGAGCCTTCTCACGTGGGAAGGTTCCCAGTTCAAGTCTGGAGACTTCCTCGAGTACACAGGGCACACATGTGCACTTGCCCACGATCTGAGGTGTCTGAAGGCTGAGGTAGATGACACTGTCAGTCCCTTGTTGGGGGTGCCATCTCTCTATATCTGTATCGCTCACTCATGGAAAAAATAAATAAACTTCTAAAAATATTATGTCTCAATACACCAAGTGCTTCAAAATAATCTGGTGTTCTTAGTAAAATTGCAATTCCTGGTCCCTATGTCAATCTATTGAATCAAACACTCTAAGATAAAACTTAACAAGAAAAATGTCTTATTTCAATGATTCTTTTTTTAAAAAAAAATGCACAATTCAATGGTTAAAGTTTCTGAAAGTTGTGCAACCATGAATTTAACTATTGTTTCTTTGGTTGCTTTTGCTTTGGTATCATAGTTAAAAAACTAATCTGAGGTCATGAATACTTATATCTTATCCTACAAGGTTTATAGTTTTAATTTCTACATGTAGTTTTGTTTTGTTTTGTTTTGTTTTTTTTGGAGAGGTTTTTGCTATAGGGCACGTGCGCTCGCCAGACAGACAGAGAGAGACAGAGAGACAGAAAGAGAGAAATCACCCCCCCAGGGGGATGGCCATGCCGCAATCCCTTCTCCTCCATTCTCCTCTCAGAATCTTGGGCACGCACACACATGCACCCAGTGTGAGTTTAAGCCACCAGGTCTGGGACTCGAACCGCGGTCGACTACGTGGGAGTCCAGCGACATAGCCATTACGCTAACTGTTGGTTCCTCTACATATAGGTTTTTGATCCATTTTGAGTTAAATTTTGTAAATGCTGTTAAATAAAGTTTTAAATAAATTCTTTTATATGTCAATACTCAATTGTCTCAGTATCATTTGTTGTAAAATTTTTTCTTTCTCCGATTGAATTATGTTGACACTCTTGTTAAAATCAATTGGTTTTAAATGTTGGTTTTATTTCTATAATCTCAATTTAAATTTTTTTTCACCTCTTCCATGAGAGAGGCAGAGACAAAGACAGAAAGTAGAGAACAAAAGAGAGAGACAGGCACCATCAGCAGTGTCCCCCAATGTGACATCATCCTTAACCAGCCAGGATGATGGGTATGTGTGCAGAGAGATCTCAGGATAAGAACCTGGGGCCTTCCTGTGTGGCCTCAGCACTGCAGAATGTTGCATTGTTGCATTATCACTGCATACCCCCACAGTTTGTCTAGAATCCCAAGTTTGTTTCGAAGAGATTTTTGCCATAGGGTACATGTGCTTGCCATGGAGACAGAAACAGACAGAGAGACAGAAAGCGAGAAATCACCCCCTTGTGGGGGATAGCCAAGCCCTTCTCCTCCATTTTCCTCTTGGGATTTTGGGCACACATCACATGCACATGTACCTGGCATGACTTTCAAGTTGCCGGGTCCAGGACTTGAATCATAATCAGTCATGTGGGAATCCAACACCATAACCACTACACCACCTTCTGGCCCCTTAATTTTATCTCATTGGTCTATATGCTTATCTTTTTGAGTATGATACAGTATTGACTATTGCAGATTTGTAGTAAGCTGGGAAATTGGGAAGTGTCAATCATCCAATTTTTTTTTTTTCAGATTGCTTGGGCTATTCTGAGCCATTTACATTTTCATATGTTTGAGATTATCAATTTCTGTAGAAGAAAAGCAGATTTGAAAATCAATAAGAATTGAACTGAATCTCTAGATCAATCTGAGGCGTATCACCATTTAACATTTATTTCTTGCAAACCTATGAACATGACAGGCCTTCAAGTCTTCTTTAATTTCGTACAGCAATGTTTTATAGTTCCCAAGGCATACTTCTTACACTTTTTCAATTACCTTTACTCCTGAGTATTTCATTACTTTTGATATTGTTGTCTGTGGAATTGTACTTTTGCTTTCTTTTTCAGATTGTTCATTACAGTGTATGGAAATAAAATTGGCTTTTTGTATATTAATCTTATTATCCCACCACACTTCTAAACTCATTTCTTAATGTTGTATGTCTTGTATTCCGTATGAACAGAGATAGTTTTGCTTCTTCTTTTCAATCAGGATGCTTATTTCTTTTTCTTATCTAATTGCACTGGGTGTAACTTCTAGTATGATGTCACATAGAAGTTATCCTGTCTTATTCTTGTCCTCAGAATGTTTTGAGTTTTTATCATTAAATATGATACTAGCTGTAGTTTTTTTCGCAGATGTCTTTATCAGGCTGAGGAAGTTTCATCCTATTTTCTGAGTGTTTTTAATCAGTAATGGATGCTGGATTTTGTCAAATGCATTTTCCGTGTCTATTCATATAATCATGTGTTTTTTTGTCCTATATTCTATTAATATTGTACATACATTGATTGTCAAATGATAAACCAATCTTTCATCCTCAAGATAGATCCCTTTTAGCCAACATAAAACGTTCTTATGTTGCTGAATTTGGTCTGCTAGTATTCTGGTAAGCATATCTACATCTGTGTTTATAAGCAATACTGACTGGTAGTTTCCTTTTATTGTGATATCTTTATCTGATTTTGCTAATTGGGTAATACCAGCTTCACAGAATGAGTTGGGAAGAACTCACTATTCTTCCATTTTGGGGAGAAAAAGTTTGTAGAGGATTGCGGTAAGCATTTAACAGAATTTAGTAGTTAAGTCATCTGGGTTTTGGCTTCATTTTGTGGGAAATTTTTAAATTACTCATTCAATTTTTGTTATATAGGATTATTCAGTTTTCTGTTTCTTCTTAGGTCAATTTCAATCGTGTGCATCTTTCCAGAAATTAGTCCATTTGATCTAGGTCTTCCCATTTTTGGGCATAAAATGAATTATTGTAGTTCCTTACAATACTTTAAAAACTTTTGTATGATTGGTGGAAATGAGCTCACTTTTACTCCTGATTTTAGTAATTCGTGTCTTTTTATTTTACTCTTAGTCAATATAACTTAGTTTTCTCATTTTGGTTAATACTTTCTAAGAACCAACTTCTAGTTTTACTGATTTTATTTACTGTTCTTTTTTTCTATATCATTTATTTCTGCTTTAATCTTTATTATTTTCTACTGCTTGGTTTAGGTCTTTTTTTTAAAAAGGTAGTAATTTGGGTTACTGAATTGAGATCTTTTTTATTATAGGTATTTACAACTATACATTTCCTTCTTAGCTTTGCTTCAACTACATCTCATAAGTTTTAATACATTTCTTTTGTTTTTATTCATCTCAAAGTGTTTTCTAATTTCCTTTGTGATTTATTTTTGCTTCTGCAGTCATTTAAAGGTTTGGGACCAGCAGATGGCATAATGGCTATGTCATTGGACTCCCATGTAGTCGACCGCGATTGGAATCCTGGACTCAGAGGCTTAAACTCAACGCTGGGCACATGTGCATGCATGCCCAAGATCCCAAGAGGAGAATGAGGAGAAAGGAATGCGGCATGGTCATCTCCCCTGGGGGGTGATTTTTCGCTGTCTCTCTCTGTCTTTCTGGCAAGCACAAACGCCCTACAGCAAAAACCTCTCAAAAAAATGCAACTAAAAGTCATATATATTTCAAATTTCTTAGTGTGAGTTTACAGAAACACAATTTCATTCATCATAAGTAATTCTATATTACAACCACTAGGTGGCGATCAAAGTGAATTTTTACCATTTGATTAATAATATAAAATCCATTACTTGTATGGCATTATATATTTTTTCAACTTACGTATAGTCATTTAATTTGAAGGATGTCATCTACTCTCTCAATAATTTTTTCATATACAGAATAATAGACAGATACTTCCCCAGAAATGGTGAAGTTTCTGCTCTAGAGGAATCCAGGTTCTTAGATACAAAGTGATGGGTAGACAGACACATCAAAGTACTTCATGTTGAAAGCTACTGACGTGACTGCGGTCAGGGAGAGGGTGATCACAGTTTGGGATTTTAATATTTCAGATGTAGGAGAGGCTGGGCCAGTAATGAGGAAAGTTAAAATGGATCGTATCCCCATGTACACATCAGGAAAAGGAAGGAAGCCCAGCTGGGTCCAGAAAATACTGTACAGGAGACAATCTGAGCTCCACAGATCAAGCCTAAGGCCAAAGGAACATATTTTCCATCTTTTTTTTTTTTTTTTGGCTTAATCCAATTGTGTCCACATCTAAATATATTTAAATATATGTTTAAATAAATAGTACTACACTCTAGCCAACGTTTTCTGAGCCATATACTTAAATACAATAGAGACTGAAACTATTTTCTTAGTCAAAAGCAAGTATGTTTTTCATTTTTAAAAATTTGATACACTGCCAAGGACAGGCAGGTGGCATGGGGGTTAAGGCACTGGACTCCACATTGCCAACCACAGTTCAAGCCCCAAACCCAGTGCCTGGAAAAAAAAAAGAATCACAAAAATAAATAAATAAAAACATGTTTTAAAAATTAATAAATTAAAAGACCACAGCTTGAAAAGAAAAAAATTGTACATATTGCCAAATTGCTTTCCAAAAAGACTGTAATAACTCCAATTTGCACTGGTAGTAAAGAGCCATTTTCCTGCGTCACCTCCAGTAGTGACAACAGACTTACAAAAATACTTGTCATAAGGACAAACGCTTTAGTCAGCATCCATGGCCATTCACTCATTGCTCTACCCTCCCCCACCATTTGTCCCGTGCATGTTTACAGCCGATCTTCATGGCCATGTGCTTTTAGAAATGCGGTTCCTACTGATAGGCACCGTCCCCTCCCGCTTTCCTGTAACTGCCAACGTTTTATACTAATAGCAAAATCTGACTTCCTCAGTCAGGGCTCTCCTCAGATCCTTCGCAGAGTCAGATAGTACCTTCTGTGCCCCACTATACTCTCTCTCCATACTTCCTGAGCAGAACTTAAAAACTGCCGTTGATGTTTATAACTTTCACCCTCGGTAGCCCCTAAATCCTCTGAAGATGGAATATATTCTAGAAGACACACAGGAAACTATCTGGAACCCTATGGGCATTCAGTATTCATTTATTGAATCAATCAATAATGCAATCAATTAGTTAAATTAAAAAGTAATTTTGACTCTTAGTAGGTTTTTCTGGAGGCGGGGGCAGGGAGAAGCTTTCCTGTGTATTTAACCTACCTGGTACGAAATGAGAAGTGTAGTCCGGAGGAGCGTCAGGCCTCGGATCTGTTGATTTGATTTGATTTTCCATTTCAACTGCAGGCTGTTCAGGGGCTGTGGGAACTACACCTTGAAGAAAAGAGTTACAAAAGAAATAATAATATGGTTAAATGTTTCCATTTGTTTTCCTATTGGTACACATCAAGGAATATACTCAATTTAAATCACACTCTTCTTATAAAAACATAATTTATCATATGATACATCAGACATCAACCTATTAATAAAGAGTATGAATTCTCAGACTAAACATAGACTGAAAAAATAAAGCTAACCAATTATACCTTGCTTGTGATCAAAGCAGTGAGCTACTCACTCCTAGTTCAGCTGACCCAATGGTGACTCCTAGGTACATAGAAAATTGTTTGTACAATAGAAAAATAAATATTTTTTAAATAATTACTTATTTAATTTAAATTATTATTATTTTTAATTTGCTATAGGGCACGTGTGCTCATCAGAGAGAGACAGTCAGAGGGAAACTGAGAAAGCAAGCTGTTAAGGTCCAAGACTCAAAACGATAGTCACCCATGTGGAGGTCCAGCACTTCAACCATCATGCCACCTGCTGACCCCCCAAAAATAAATCTTTATTCTACTATATATTGTGGAGAACACAGGCATCCATAGGGTGAATTTGTTGTTTCCCCCAATGCTGTCTGGAAAACTCTGTCCAAACAAATTCAAAACATAGCACCAAAATGCTAATGGTTTCAACAGCAGCAGTGCCATGCAAGACTCAATTAGAGGTAATTCAGGCTACCTCTGCAGTGACTCCCATCTCTGCTGTATTCTTCCTAAAAGCAACCTAGGGCACAGTTCATTGCTGCAAGGGAGGTCACGAAGGCACTTTTTATGATCTAATACCTTGGCCTCTTGTTTCAATTAGGAAAATTTCTCTCTGGATTCATTGTAAGTTCTGAACTGCCTGACTTTTTTACCTGATAGAATAGACACGATCCCTTAAGTGTGAGGTTCTATCTTTGTGGGACCCACTCTGAGCCTCCTCTGCCACGGGGGGCTCTCTCTTACCACCTCGGCAGACTCACTGTCCTTCCCTGACTCTTCCCGTACCTACTTCCCCACACACTTCAAAGGGTCTTCAGTACATACATGCCAATGTGAGTGCCATGTCATTCCTTTTTTGACAAAGACAGATAATAATGTTCAGATGCATAAATGAACACACACACACTCACACACACACACTTAACGCTCACAGGTTGAGCATCCCTTAATCCAAAAACTCAAAACTCAAAATGCTCCAAAATTTAAAACATTTGTATGCCAATACACTGTCGTAAGTTAAAAATGTCAACCCGATCTCCTGTAACAGGCCACATGCAGAACACTGGCAAGACAAAAATCCTGGGTAAAATTACCTTCGGGCAATGCGTGTAAAGTACATATGAAATGGAAATGAATTTCATGTTTAGAATTGAGTCTCAGCTCCCAAGTATCTCACTATGAGTGTGCTAATATTTCAAAATCTGAAACAATACAACATCTCAAATACTTCTGGTTCCAAGCATCTTGAATAAAGGATATTCAACCTATATATAGATGCTCTCCAAATGCTAAACAATAATCAACTTGAAAATGAAATAAGCTGAGATCAGCAGTTGGCATAATGGCTATGTTGCTGGACTCCCATGTAGTCGACTGTGATTCAAGTCCTGGACCCAGTGGCTTAAACTCACGTCGAGTGCATGTGCGTGCATGCCCAAGATCCCGAGAGGAGAATGGAGGAGGAGGAGAAGGGATTGTGGCATGGCCATCCTCCCTGGGAGGTGATTTCTTGCTTTCTATCTCTCTGTCTCTCTCTGTCTTTTTGGTGAACGCATGTGCCCTATAGCAAAAATCTCTCCAAAAAAAGAAAGAAAGAAAGAAAGAAAGAAAGAAAGAAAGAAAGAAAGAAGGAAGGAAGGAAGGAAGGAAGGAAGGAAGGAAGGAAGGAAGGAAGGGAGATGAAATAAACTCCCTGTGTAAGGAAAACAATCATACAATTCACTTTTGAAAATAAAGCATATTCCAATATAATTGCAAATATTTACCTGACATTTTGAAGAATTCAATTAATCCTGAAAAATAAAACATAACATATAAACCACTTATATGTACATGATATACTGTTACTACTGTCAATTAGAGGTACATGTAACAAGTTCTGTCAACTTTCTTTATCTTCCGGTTACCCATTTTTCATGCCATCAGTAATTCAACAAAAACTTCCCGAGTGCCTGGTATGTTCCAGACACTACTAGAAATGTTCAGAACACAGCAATAATCCAGACACTTTGCTGCCCATGCTGCTAGAGTTCATATTACAGTAGGGTGAGATTTTTTTAAATGTCAATATCTAGGTTCATATGTAGATAAAAGTTCTGAAGGAAATAAAGCAAAAGGTTTAAGAAAATGATGGATGGGGAGTTCTAGAAGGTTAAGGAAAGTCTCTCCTGCGAGGTGACCTTGAGATATCTGAACTATAAAAAGGAAATACCACATGAAAATGGTGTGAAGTCAGCTCCAGGAAGACTGGGAAGTCAGTGCAAAGGCAGAGATGCCCATGAGCTTGACTTCGCTCTTTCTTGTCTTCTTTGTAGAGATTTTGCCTTAGGGCATGTGCATTCACCAGAGAGACAGCGACAGGGAACAGAGAGAGGGAAGGTGAGAAATACACCTCCCTGCCCAGGGGAATGACCACACTGCAATCCCTTCTCCATTCTCATCAGAGGATCTTGGGTACATATGCACACACACCTGCTGTGAGTTTCAAGCCACCAGGCCCAGGACTCAAACCACAGTCAGCCATGTGGGAGTTCAGTGATGTAACCACTATGCCATCTACTGCCTCACCCCCAGCTTGGACTTTTCAATAGAGAAAAAGAGTACAAGGTCAGGTGTGATTGTGCCCCAGTGAATGGAGAGAACCCAGACAACAAAGGCCATCTGGAGGCCATGACAAAGTATTTGATTTCTTGTAACTGCAACCTGGAGATCTGTGGGTTTTAATTGTGGAATATTCATGTACTACTTTAACTGCGATCTTGAGAGGGAAGGAGTGAAAATGGAGCAGTGAGGGATGGGCCGTGCAACCCAGGTGAGGGCCGAACCTTGCTTGGACTAGGGAGGGAACATGGGGAAGGGTCAGGTGTTGTCAGAGGTCCAGCGTGGTCTGGAGCCAGAGCGTCCAGGAGTTGCTGGTGAACAAGGGAGAGAAAGGATCAGGAATGGGCCTCAATTACTTGGCCTTTGGTTATGCAAGGTTTTTTTAAACATGGATGGTAAGCAATTGTGTAGCTATTTCGGCAAGATTTTTGTTGTGGAGATCTGGCAGTATTCTGCATAGCTCTTCGGGTGAGGAAATAATTCTGTAGAAGATAAGCCATCATTCAGGAAATGATCTCTATCTGAACCTTACTTTCCTGTGTTCTCAGAGTAACTTAGCCTAGTTATGTCCACTCTATCAGAGACCCAAATCATATTTTTAAAAAATGTAACATCTGAAAACTTGAACCTAGAGCTTTAATTTTTAAGAAATCTTAAATTCTTTGAAAACATTCAAATTAAAATATTTATAAAGTATATTTCTATTACAAAGTACTGCCAATACCCTATATGACTTAGAGGGAATTATTATGTTTTGAGATCATTTTACCATAGATCTTCATTGAAAAAACCAAAGTGACAAAGCTTAGATTTTGTGTTTTTTCAGAAACTACTTCCCACGTCTTAAGTTTCTTGGGCAGACTTAAATTCCTAATTTAAGATGATCAAAGTGGTCATCTAATTTTAGGTTTTCTGTCTTACTTTCATTTAAAAAATAAGTCTGCCACACGTACAAATCACTTGTCAAAATTTGACCTACTAGTTTTTCTCGAGTTTATTTGTGTTAATGTAGCACAATAAATGCCTACAATAGTGCTCTCCCTGGTGGAGCACACACTCATGAGGTGACCAGCAGCAAAACATAAGCAAACTGTGTTTTGCTTTTCTTTTCTCTAAAATAGAAATTGCGGGCAATCATGTTGAACTCAAATGATCTATGATAGTAGAAAATCTAAGAGCTAGGAAAATAACTGAGTTTTATAGCACTATTTTCAGACTGCAGAAATAAGGTTAAATAGGGGCCAGCAGGTAGTGTGGTGGTTAAGGGTGCTGGACTCCCACATGGCTGCCCCTGGATCGAGTCGCAGCCCTGGCGACTTGCTTTCTCACTGTATCTCTCCCTCTCTCTCTTGCTCTGTCCCTCTCTGGTCAAATTAAAATAAATAAATAAATAAATGTAAATAAAATAATTCTTAAAAAAAGAAAACTTAGGCTAAGTATACAGTGATTTCGACAGCTGAAAGTTCTGTGTGATTCAGACTGCTCCCTTGTGTTTGAGGACTTGCACTAACTGCAAACACTAGTGAAATGAGTCATTTCAGTAGTCCTAAGCAATACACTGGGTGGTGTTGCACTAGAAAGACATTAACTCACACTTTAGTTTCTAGTAGTTACTATTGATTTTATCATTTAGGTTCCATATACTTTCCCGTATTCCAGGCTCCTAACTTTCCCACAGTCTAGCGAGGGGCACGGTCCAGTTAGGACCTTAGACGTGTTTTCCATCCAGTCGTGAGGGGTTGGTACTAATGCTGCTTTAGGGACTATAAAACTTTTGTCCCTGAAACTAGTTAACTGTCTCGTAGTTAAATAAGGCAGAATGATTGTTTCAGCCTGCTCAGCCTGGTCCAAATCCAGGAACCCATGATTGGCTTACCTTAGATCACTGAGGAGACTAAGAGGCATAGGCTGCTTGGAATTGAAATCAGCATGTGAAAACAATCTTCACTGTATAGTGTTAGTGTGATACCGTACTATTAGAAAAATAGTCATCTTTTTCTGTTTCATAAGTTGTATGCATAAACAAGATTAGTAATGTTTCACTTATAAACTGACATCAACTCGTGCTTACCTGTTAATAGTGTTTTCTCAAAGTATGGTGGTGCGTCTTCCAGGTTGTCGCTTTATGCTCATAGTAAATAGTTCTAGCTTGTTGAAATATTCAATTTCTTACTGGTTTCTTTTTGCCTTGATGGGGCATATAGTAAGCCTGAAGGACATTGTAATCATTTTTTACAGGGTGAAAATTTAGGAAGACTGTGTGTGGGAGCCCATATAGTTTATTTTATCCATTATCATCTTAAGTTTTTATTTTTATAAATGCTACTTTCAGTTAATGCATTGGGCCCAACTGAGTATTCAGGGTTCCAGAAAACTTAAAAAGAAAAAATTCTGCCTGCATCTTAAAATTGTAACCAAGTAAGTATCCATTTGGAATTATTCCAAAATATTAAGATCTCCAAGCCAAAAGTACCATGTTAAAACTTTTGCCTTAAAGGTTTTGTATGCAAATGTTAATTGAAGACAAAATAAAATGTGAGATACCTCAGAACAAAAGCCAGGTTAAAAAAAAAAAAGAAAGAAAGAACAAAAGCCAGGTTTTCATGGTGCCTAGTCTTTATAAGGGCTCTCCATGGCTTGACTTGCCCCAACTGCCATTAATGAGTACAGATCACCTTAAAATATGTTAATTTGACTCATTACATGGAAGATTAGTTCTGTAATTTCACTGAAAATCCTAACCTAAAATGAATTGTGTTAGCTTCTGGTCCGCCCTGACTAAAACGTGAATAGTGAAATGGCTATCCTAAACTTTGGCTTACCTCAAATCTATGCTGTCATATTTCTGAGGCAAATGTGATTCGTTCCAGTGGTATCTTACTCGTATCTAGAAAATCGTATCAATTAAAAATTCACTATGTTGAGGGACCAGCAGTTGGCGTAATGGTTGTCGACGGATTTGAGTCTCGGACCCAGTGGCTTAAACTCACACCGGGCGTGTGTGTGTGCATGCCCAGAATCCCGAGAGGAGAATGGAGGAGAAGGGACTGTGGCATGGCCATTTCCCCCTCCTCCCTAAGGAGTGACTTCTCACTTTCTGTCTCTCTGTCTTTCTGGTGAGCACACATGCCCTATGGCAAAAACCTCTCAAAAAAAAAAAATAAAAATAAAAAATTCACTATGTTGGGGCCAGCAGGTGGTGTGGTGATTAAGGGCACTGGACTCCCACATGGCCAACCAGGGTTCAGGTCCCGGACCTGGCAGCTTGCTTTCTCACTTTCTCTCTCCGTCTCTTTCTGTCCTTCTCTGGTCTAGACAAATAAGTAAATAAATAAATAAAGTTAAATAAAATAATTCTTTTTAAAAAAATTCACTATGTTAAAAAATAAAAGATTGGGTCTAGGTATGAGGCCAGGGTAATTAGAGATGAACATGGTGGGGAAATGGCAGGCACTAGAGGGCAAGAACCAAAGGTTCAAACTGGCCCATGTTCTATTTAACAAGAGGCCAAAAGAAGGAAAATTGAACATTAAATAAATAATGTGTAGATGGGAACGTGATGGTAACTCAGAGCAAGAAATAAGCAGCTGAAATAAAACTGGAATCAAGAGGTAGGAGGTGGCGGTAAGGTTTTGTGGATTCAGTCAGGCAAAAAGTAAAGCTGTTATCAGAGAAAGGGACCTTGTTTTTTCTAAATTTCCAAGTTCTAGGGGTTGACAAATAACAAGGAGAACAACATCAAGAAAGACTATAATTTACCAAATACTTACCAAGTGTCAGACAAAGAGCCCAACACTTCTTATGTCCTCTCTATAGCCTCTCTCTACTATTAAATGCCAACCCTGCTAAAGGCGAGTACTTCTAAATCGAAACCCAAGCACTTCCTGATAGGTAACCCCACTGATCCGAGTACAGAATGTGGCCATGTTTGTTATTCAAGTGGAGTAGAAAGGCACTAGTATTTAGAGTACTTTAACAAAACTCTAGAACACCACAGGAATGAGTTATCAGTAATGAAATTCAGGGACCAGCAGTTAGCGTAATGGCTGTGTTGCTGGACTCCCATGTAGTCCACCGCGGTTCGAGTCCCGGACCCGGTGGCTTAAACTCACGCCGGGCGTGTGTGCATGCGTGCCCAAGATCCCAAGAGGAGAATGGAGGAAAAGGGATTGCGGCATGGCCATTCCCCCTG